ATACGGAGTTCGCGAACGGACAGAATACGGAGAAACCCGCAATAATGTTCTGTGTTTTGCTGGAAACGGTTCGCTTACGGTCCGCATACGATTCCTATTTCAACCGCGCGCGAACGCGGAGAGTCCGTAACGGGTTGTTCGCGAATCATCTGTGTCGGGTATTCCGGATTTTTTTTGAATTTTTTTGTGGTAAATTCTGAAAATACATAACTTTCGGAACATTTTAATGCAAAAAAATTACCAAAAATTCGGATGAGCCCCCTTTAAAGCAACCATCAATTCTCACTAATAACACTTCTCTTTCTATGGGAATCCACAATATTTTTTATTTTGTTTTCTGGATCCATAATGTTCATATTTTCTCACTTCCTTATTTGTAGGTCTAGCTTTCTCCATCGTTTTTTCTCTTGTCACCTGCTAGAATTTCGAAAAAAAACGCCGGCACAAAAAAAGAACAAAAGAATATCAAAAAAGTGAAAAGCCATTACATTTCATGAGAAACGAGCTAATTTAGAACCAACTAACGGAACAAGGAGTTTGAAGTTTTTCTCCTTTTTTGACCGGAGGAAAGACAAAAAAGAGATAATGAGAGACAACACAAAAAATTCGGAAGGAAAGGGGATAAAGGACTAAAAAAGAATAAGAAAAAAAGAAGAAAAGCGGAAGAAAATGTGTGAAAGGAAGTGGAAAATGAACACACACCGTGCATAGCCAACACTCTTTGGACAGGATCGTGGGATTTTCGGTGTCAGAATTTCTTTGAAGCTAATGATAAAGCAACACCACCGTTTCTGTTTCTCACATAAAAAAATAGTATTTTAAATAAAAATCGATCAGTTACAAATTTTTGGGGCTACCACTTGAACAGAAAAGGGCACCAAGAAACCAATTCGGGAAGAAAAAGAAGAAGCTGTTCAAATATTCAGAATTGAAGTGCTCACTTGGAAACATGGGTATATAGCGGATAAGACTCGTGATGAGAAATGAGGAAAAAGAAGAATTTTATGAAAAACAGGATGTTGGATAATTAGGAGGAAGATCCTATAGAAGAAAAACTAAAAGTTTGAAGATTGAGAAATGAAGAATCTCGGTTCTCGACTAAAAAACGAAACGAATCATTAAGAATGTACAGTAGTAGGAGAAGGAGGAGTGTGAAACATGCAAACGCGGTCCAAACACGAAAAGCAAATTAAAAATTGATAGCCGGATGACTAGGAGTATTCCCATTTCTATCTCTTTTTGGTCGAAGTTCGAAAGCACGGAGTTTTTTGAAATTCAATTTGTAAACATGACTTAATTGAGCTAATTGAATTTTTGTCTGTGTGGAAGAAGGAACTAATTCTAGAGAGCCGGGAATCGAACTTTTAGAATAAGTTTAATTTCTAGGAAACAAAGATGTTGATCTCTGAAAAACTCCAAATAATTAGAGTGGTAGAAATCCAAATATGCGACGAAATCCCCGAAAAGTGCTGTTGAAAGTGAAAATTTTGCTTTTAAAAAATAAAAAAACATTTTTTCTTTAAAAAAAATAGGGACGAAGATAATTTCGCGGCCGTGACCTATATTTCTCACTGTGCGGGAACTCAAATCCTCGTCCCTATTCGCAACCATTTTTTTTTAATTTTCAACTGCGTTTTTCGAGGATTTATTTTTTTTTCCTGATTTTTTTCTCACTAATATTCTGAAAATATATAACTTTGGGAACATTTTGATGCAGAAAAATTTAAAAAAAAATTTTTTTTGGTCGGAATCCCCCTTCGAAACTATTTTCAAAGATAGAATCAGAGAAAAACTTCAAGATCTGATAATCAAAAAATATGCGCACTGCGCTCTGATAAATTATTTCTGCTTGAATTGATAAGATATTTTGATATTTTTGGCTCTGCTTTCTGGGGTTTTCAATTTTCTAATTATTAAAGTGACATCAGAATTTCAGTCCCACTTCTTTCAGCTATTTTTTTCGGTCTAATGATTCCCAAACGTTCCGAAAATAAGTTTTTTCAATCCATGTCTCTATTCCCCATCTGAATGCTTTTGCAGAATCTCGATTTCAAGATATTTATAGGACGGAGAAAAACCACGAGGCAGTTGACCCCAAAAACACGTTGCTGCTTCTTGACATGTTTCAATTCCGAAATGGGGAAAAAGCCATAAACAAGGGGCTCACACAAAATTCCAAATGAAGTTAGAAAAAAGAAAGGCAACTAGAACTTTGACCACGAAAAATAAATGGGCCCAAAAGTATAAAAAACTAGGGGGCAACACGAATTCTCATGCATCCGAAATGAAGAGGAATCTTCTTGAAGATCTAAAAATGTTCCTATTTTCAGAACACATCATGAAAAATCAATGGTTGTTTATTAGTAGTATTCAGGTGTAGTGTCGGAGGAAAGAAGAAAGAGAAGCGAGGGAAAACTGAGAGGAACCAGAAAAACGGACACGGAAGGCACCGACAAATGACCCGAATGACCCTCTGTGCAGATTTTTTGAAGCAAAAGAATGGAAAATGTACTATGCGGACGGATACAAACAAAGCTGTGTAAATGAAAATATGATATGTTTTTGTGTGAAGAAGAAAGTGAACTCAGCTGCAATAAAGACACTTCCTTGGTACTGAAAAATGAACTTGAACTCGAAAAAAGTAAAGTTTAGAGATTGGGAAGAGGAACAAATGACTTGTTGTTTTCAGAGATATACTAGATCTAACAAGAGGGCCACAACCCCTTGTAAACCCAGATTTTGATGAAAAAAAAGGCTAAAAATAGTCTATGTTTTGTTATACTTAGAATTGCATAAAATTTCATATTTCAGACATTAAAAAAAAGGTTTTTTTTAATTTTCGAATATGTCCAAGTGGTTGAAAAAATCAGAAAAAAAATTAGGGAAGATGTTTGAAATATGAAATTTTATTCAATTCTAAACCTAACAAAATAAATTTCATGTTCTAAAACGTCCTAGAAATCTGTTGTTGCACTAAAAATCTGTTGTTGCACTAAAAACGCTATTTTTGTACTGAAACTGATCTAACTCGGCTGAAACTGACGAGCAAATTCAAAATGTTCGATAGATAAGCTATTCTTAACCTTTCCGAAATTTTTCATCAGAATCTGGTTTTGAGGCTCCCTTATGATATAATCTTTAGTCGATAAAATGAGTTCTTTGAATGGAGAAAAAGATGTAACAATAAGTTATGGACATCAAATTAATTGCATTCTAGAAACTTCGTTATGAAATCTCTTTGGGTAAAATGTGATGTTTCTTTGACACATGACTCAAAATCTACGATTTTTTTTATTTTGAAAAAATGAGTTTCGTTCTAACAGAACAATAAATTATGCCTACCTCAAATGGAAATATTTCAAAAACAACATAGAACACTCCAGAGACATGTGAATACAAATTCAAAAAAAAAGGACTCACCTCTTAGTAACCGATGTATTTCAGAAAGCGATGTCGTGCACTTTTCCAATGCACTCGTCATTGTTTTGTGCCAGTGGTGATGATTGAAATGAGAATGATGAGGTTGGTGGGGAGGAAGTTGAGATAACGATGGGGACAAAGTGATGGATGAAGTGGTAGTGGGGGTGGAAGCAGAGTGCGATCGGTGATGCAATGGAATCGGACGATGGGCGGTCAGGTGGTGGAACCAAGGAGGAGATGAACACCGTGTGGAAGTGCTTGATGATACTTTAAACTCCATTTCACACGAGAGAGGGACTCCTGCAAAGATTGATGGACTTTTTGAATTTTTAGTGGTCTCGAGAAATTGGCAAGAGCCAAAGAGATGAATAGACAAGACAAAATGTGGTTTTAAAGAACAAGGAATTGGATGATGGATTATATAATTTTTGAGATGAACAAAATTGAAAAAAAATACTACAAAATCTGTCTAAATAAATGAATTGTAAGGATGGAAGTAAGAAAAAATATACGGAAAAGTGGTTTGAAGAGGCAAGGGATTTTAAAAAAATGGTTCCCACAGAATCTCGAGTTACCAAATATCTGCGAGCAAAGTACTGAAATAAGAGTTTTTGGTCCTTCATTAACAATCATCTTGAGAGGTACTGTAGTTTGACATACCGTATTTACTCCAATAGAAGCTCACCCAAGCCGTCAACTTTGAGCTTAATTATCTTGATTCCTGTAAAAGATATTGAACATCTATCAACTTTTAAAATATTGACGATCTTGTGATAAACAATTTATCAGTGGAAATGTTCTTGATATCTTTGGGAGGATCCGAGATAATTGAGCTCAAGAAGGTGGGCTTCTACCAGAGCACAAACGGTAAGAGCGGCTGTGGTTTGTTAGTTTTTGTAAGGTCTCGGATATTTAGGAAAGGGAAAAAATACAAAAAATAGAATTCAATGTATACTTCAGCTTTACACCTGTGTGAGCTTGTGAAAAAATGACTCTATTGAACGTTTTTGAAGATGGGAACTCGAAAAAATCTTGAATAACAATCGCAGCATACCGTAAATTCTCTAATAGTAATATCTCCAACTATTCGTTCACTTTAATCTCAATTATCTCGGTTGTCATTAAAGATATCAAGTATTGGTCAACTAGTAAAATGTTGGTGATATTGTGATAAACATTTTATTAGTTAACTACTTTTTGATATCTCTGACAAAAACCGAAATAAATTGGCTTAAAATCAAAAGTTAAGGTGGCCTTATATTAGAGCAAATACGGTATTAAAAATAAGAAACTTTTTCAAACACTAACTTTTTTCTACTATAACAGACAAGCACTTAACTTGTCGTATATCCTAACGACTAGTTTTTGTGCCATATTTTCAAAAAGAGTCTATAATCATTAAAAAAAATAGTCGGCTAATAGTTATCTTTTCTTCCATATCATCAAAAAAGAATAAAAAAGACGGAAAGCACAAAAAACAATGTAAATGAAATTCTTCTTCTCTTTTTTTTCCACTACTGCAATCTTCTTCATCTTCTTTTCTGAAGCATCTTCTTCTTCATCCACCCTCACTTTTTGATGTTCTGTCGTCTTCTTTCATCAGTAGTGTAATCAGCTGTGAGGACTCTCGCCCGCAAAAAAATGCAAGAAATTTACGCGGCTGTTGTGTTTTTTTTTTTGCTCCGTCTGGGCACCTTTCCTCTCATTTTTTTTTCGTACAATGATGTTCTTGCTCTTTTCTTTCATGACATTATGAATTTGAATCCCATTTTCTCTTTTGTGAAGAATGTGCATACGAACGGACGGCGGAAGAGCAGCTGACCGATGGGTGTCGGCTCGCAAGAACCCATTATTCTTTCGAGATTCCTTAAATTTTTATCGACGGAGAAGACAACAAGAGCCCATTTGAATTGCACAATTCCTAGTGTTGCACAACTTTACACCTGAAAAATGGAAAATTGTAGGGAGAATTCGAGAAGAAGATTATTTGTGGATATGGAGATGAATTACCTGGATTTATTTGATTTTCACACATTCAGAATGATTCGACGTTGTGAGCGAGAAAACGGAAGGGAGCTGGATGAAACAGTACATTTAAAATACGTAGAAGAATGGTCTAGCTACAGTTTTCCGTAAACTGAAATAGTTTTTACTTCCTGTATATTGGCTAAAAAGCGCAACGATAATAAACAATTTCATTTTTCGCACTCAGCAGGTGGCTTCTGAAGTGATACCAAAATTTTCAGGTCCGCGAACAAGCTCTCATCCATCAATGTCAGGTTATCAACATGTTTTCTTCCGAGTACAAGAACCCTTCACTTCCAAAGAATTCATCACTCAGCTAAAAAAACCACAACAGTTGTCAGTTGTGCCACACTAATTAATGTGTACAACACATTGATACAGAACGAATCTAGAAAATGGATTTCACACATTTGTACTGTACCATTTTTGTTTTCAACTAAGTTGTGTTATCAGCAAAGTTGTATCAGTTGACCAATTTCCGATATTTTTTACAGGAATCGAGATAAGTGACCTCAAAGTTGAGGGTTGACGGTTAGAGGGAATACGGTAATATATTTTGGTTCCTGTGGGAGATATCAAAAAAGTTAGAGGAAATACGGTACTCAAAGCTCCAGTCTTGGTTCAAGATAACCTATGAAAAAATGTCCAAGAAGTTTTCCAGCAGACGTTTTTCTTTTTTTTTCAGATTTTCCGCCGAACTCCTAATTATTTTTTCTGGAGGGAAATAAAAAGTTTAGAGAGAAAAAAGTTTAGAACTTACGGTGGTGAGACCATTTTTCTATTGAAAAATACACACTTTCCAGTTCCAGCTCACTTCCGTTTTCTCTACAGTAGCCCGCCCGCTTCAGCTCAGCCGCCGTTTCGTTCGTTTAGGATAATAGAGAGGTTTCTGATAAAAATTCAAAAAATTAATCTTTAGATTTTGGTTTATTATTTATTCTTACAACAAATTTAACAAAAATATAAAACAACTGATAGTGAATTCCTTTCCAGCCAAGTTATAAACAACGCTTACTATCTTCCCCCATTACTTCTTCTTCTTCTGCCGTCAAGGCAATTTGCGCAACAAGCGTAGGGTCCATGGAAATCTGTTGCGGCTCACTTATCGTGGCGTTTTTTGCAGAGCAATCAATCACTTATTGCACAGCTCAAAAATGTTTCATATTTTTAAATTTCTCCTAGCTCTTCTTGCCCTTTGCACTTTTCTGCTCGGAAAAGATAATCTTCAGACATCGGTATACGAATCTGCGAACAGCTAACAGTGAAACATGATACCATTTGCCATTCTACATTTTACAATTTATCAAATGTGTTTTGTTCGGAACTTTCATTTCTTTTGATCCTTTACGAAGTACGCCAGATGCCTCATCTAGTAGTCTGAAAAATGCAGCTGTAAACACAAACAAGCACAATAACACATTTCGTCAACGAGAGAAAGAATGAGTCTCGGTCCGCGATAAACAGAAAAGTTGCAGATAATCTTTGTGTTCAATTTTTTTTCGTTCAAAAAGTAACCTTGACTTTTAGGTTGAACACAACGACATATTGTCAGTACACACAAAAGAATCGAACGAGGGAAAATTGAAAAAAAAGAGAATAAAAAGGGAAAGAAGAAAAAGAAGAAGTTATAAGAATAAAGTAAGAAGAGAAAGAAGAAGTAAGAGAGAATCTTTACAACTTGTTTTATCAATTTGCGCTTCCGTGTTCTTGAACGTCATTTTGATTTTTGGCAGATGAAAGAAACCGAAACGCCATTGAAACTGGTTCAACGACTATTTTTGTATTGGACTTTTGAAATCATACTGTAGGAAAACGTTTGGATCTTCAAAAAACCTTCAATATCTCTTCATCGGTCTGAAATACTAAAACCTGTAATAAAATGGCCTCCTAACTTTAAACATTGAGCCAATATTTTCGGGACTCAAACTTTGGACTCAAACCTGTCAGTGTGGGAGCCCTTCTATTACAGGTTTTACGGTAAGAGAGATTCGTTCACGTTTTCGGCAAATTTTCTGTACGAATCCCTTGCATAGAACTTGAAATTATAGAACTTTCGACTGTTTTGGGAAAAAATGATTCCGATAGTTTCGAAATTTCGAATGTGGTCCCTAGAATAGTTCTAAAAACTCTCTCTCTCTCTCTCTCTCTCTCTCTCTCTCTCTCTCTCTCTCTCTCTCTCTCTTTCCTGAAAAACACTCACTGAAAGTCAATTACTGGATATCAGTTTATGCACGCTGAAGATTTCAGGTCTATCTGACAAATTGAAATCTCTTTTTCCAACATTTAGAGTTTACCACTTCTTTTTTTTTCATTGCATACCGTAAAACATATAATAGAAGGGCCCCTACACATTCAGGTTGAAACTCATTTATCTTAATTTTATGCAAGATATCGAAAATCAACTGATTTCTATGATATTATGATTAAAACATTTATCAGTTAACAACTTTTTTATATCTTTAACAGGAACCGAGACATTGTCCTAAATTTCACCTGTTCTGATGTTTTTCCCTCATTTTTTCTCACTTCCTAGCAATTCCATTTTGAAAGTATCCCTTCTAAATAAAAATGTTTGACTCCTCATTTGAACTACTTGTTTTTTGGACCTAAACCCCTCCTTAATTTTCCAATCATTGCCCTAACTGACAGTTCAACAGTCATGTAATAGAAATAATAGATTAGTCATCATAAAAAAACAAATACATTCTCCTCTTCTTTGTTGTTCCAAACGTCGTGCTATTTTTGTGAAAAAGGAAAAGACTTTTGGAATTTCGAATCTCCCTCTCTTTCTTTTTTCCTCAGAAAATCCGTCTTCCATTGTTTCATTTCGAATGTTATCATATCAAAACCAGAAGCAGTCAACGTGTTCTTCGATAAGCCATCGTCGATTCGATTCTCTTCTTTTATCTCAATCATGTCATGCCAAATATTATCGTCCTGCCACTCTTTTTCTAAGTTATCTTCTTTTCTCGACACCTCATTCAACCTTTCAGGGATTATGACAAAAAACACGAAGTGTGAAGGTTATTCTTCTTATCTCTCTTATGAAGCTAATCTTCCTTAGTGATTAGCCATAAGTCTCTTCTTCGAAAGTTGTCAATGAAAGTTGGAGATTTTGAATCCAGCCCTGAGAATGGATCGTGAGAAAAAGGCATCATATTTCACACACCATCAAATTAATTCACTATTCCTATTTCCTTTATTGATGACAGGAAAAACCAAAAAATCATTTAATTATACGAAAAATGGTTTTTCTAATTATTTGCCACTAGTCTTGTCTTGTTAACTACCGTAAAACCTGTTATAGAATGACCCCCTGACTTTTAACTATAAACCAACTTTTCTCGGTTCCTATGAAAGATACAAAAAAGGTGTCAACTGATAAATTGCTTATCAGAATATCAGAATTTTTTTGTTAATTGTTATATTTTTGATAGCTTTCATAGGAATTGAGATAATTGAGCTCAAACTTGACAGTGTGGGTGCCCTTTTATTACAGGCTGTATGGTAGTTCTGTGAATTCTGAGAATTCGATAAATTGAGCTTTTGCGTTTTCATTTTATTAAACTTTTATTTACAATTTCGGAAATCCTGAAATCCAGAAAACCGGAATTTCAGAAACTCAGAAATTCTGAAATGAAGAAACCCAGAGTTCCATATATCCATTATTCCAAAAATTCAAGATTCAATAATCAGATAATCTAGAAATTCAAAACTCTGAAAATCCAAAAAATCCAGAAATCCAGAAATCCAAATAGACAGAATTCTAACCATCAAACGTTTCTAATCGTTGCTAATTTTTTATCTTCTCAAAATCGATTTCCAGCCTGAACCGTTCGATACGCCCATAGCCCCGCCCCTTGTCCTCACCAAACCAAAAATCATGAATCATTCATACTTTTGTATTTTTGTTTCCCTTCTCACTCTCACTCATTTTTTTTGCATTCCAAGAGGTGTGTCATCTTCTCGACTCTTATTTTTCCCATTCATTTTCCAATTAATCGATTGATTACTCATTGCTCCGAGAGAGGGACACAAAACTACCCAAATGTTTATATGTTGCAACACCAGAAGAAGAAAAAGCAACTCTTCCTTCCTTCTTCTTCTTCTCCAGATGTGTAATTCTCACTCTCTGCGCAGGAGAAGAAGCCGATTGGCAGATTGCAATCGGAGACACGACGACCATTTCTGCGAGGTGGCACCGACCTCCGATTTGTTTTTTTTTTCTGTGAGCGGCTAGTCTAGGTTTATTGGGCTGTCTGTCATGATGGAAGATCGGATATCTATTTCCGATGCCTTTCAGGTTCTTCTCATTACCCAAACATGTATGTCTTATTACATGAGTACACTACTTCCAATTGTTTCCTAAATGTGATTGCTCGGGAAATAGTTTTGAGTTAGAAGAGGGATGGTCAGTTTTCTGATCTTTATCTTTTTAGAGACTTTCTGTAGTTTTTTCTAGATTTCAAAGTTCTATGAACATACTGTTAACACTCTCATAGAATGCCAACCGTATACTTTTGCTTTGAACTCAATTATCTTTATTTCAATATAAGATATCTGAAATCTGATAACTGATAAAATTTTACTCATAATATCGCCAACATTTTGTCAATTTACAACTTTTTATATCTTGCATAGAAATTGAGATAATTGAGATCAAACTAGAAGGCGTTGGGCCTTTCTAAAGAAGGTTTTACGGATTGGCAATGAGAGAATTTCTTGTCTATGAAAATCTGCTCTTAAAAAAAAAGAAAAATCGCAAAAATGATTTGAATATCTAACCTCTCTGGTAATATTCTGGGAATTTTCCTATTCTGTTGTCTAGTGACCCTATTCTAGAAATGTTCCGGTAGTGTTTATGTCCCGGAAACCTGTAGGTGTCAGTTCTGCCCCTAATTTCTTGGCAAATGACGCCATTCGAACTTTTTTTGATATTTTCGTCTCCTCCTTCTCTTCTGAAAATTCTTGTATCCTCTTCACCGTCATCTCTCATCATTCATCAATCTCTTCTCCACCCCATCTCCTTATTTTTTTCTGTTCGTCGGACAAATGTTATTTGATTTGTTTTCTTCCTCTTCTTCATCCCTCTTACATGTTTCAAATGTTTTCAACTCTCTCATAACTTCCATATCCCATTCCATCAAACCACTCTTGTCACAACAATATATCTCTTTTGACCCCTGACCGACAAACTGCACAAACTGACCTCCATGGCTATTGGGACTACATCAGTTGGCGCGGTGCCGGAATGCAGTTAATCAGGACCTGATGTCAAAAAGAGGGAATCTGATGGGACCGTTAATCAAAACGAGAGGTCCCGTTTCCCTATCCACCCAGTTGGCCGGTGTAGACCCCCAGTGTAATCCATCCGACCGGACGACATGTGCTTCTGGTTTGCAATCACTTAGCAGTACACAACCCAGAGAAGAACCGCGTTTTTCGACTAGTAAATCTAACTTTTTTGTTTTTCCCTGAATCAAAATTTTTGTTTTTGCTTTTCTTTCGGTTATATCACTATGTGTTATTCAAAGCAACCAAATATATATATTATTTTCAGCTTCATAGAAATACAAAGCCAGTTGTGTCCAAATTAGCTGGCAATGAACTATTTTGAGCAATTACCGTAAACCCTGTAATAGAGCGAACGTATTTTCCTCCGACATTGTGAGCTCAATTATCTAGATTTCTGTGAAATATATCAAAAATCTGTCTACTGATAAATTATTTATCATAATAACTTCAATATTTAATCAGTTGACAAATGTTTGATACCTTTCACAGAAATCGAGATAATTGAGCTCAAAGTTGACGGTTTGGGTGGGCTTCAAATAGAGGAAATACGGTAATATATTTTGGTTCCTGTGGGAGATATCAAAAAAGTTTCAATTGAAAAAAAGGTTGTTAGACTATGATAAACAACTTAACAGTTGCTAACTTTTTTATATCTTTGACAGGAACTGATATGAATTGGCTCGAAGTTAGTGGCCCTTCTATTACAGGTTTCACGGTACGTTCGCTTTTGAAATGAGAAGATTGGGAAGATAGAGTCATGAATAGATATAATTGAAAATTCTTCTCTTCAACTTTGTTGCCAAAAAAAAAGAAGTAACTCTTCGAAAAATTGCTTTTGAACTATTCTCTCCTCTTCTTCTTTTTTCCCAATTTGCATTTATTATAAAAAGACTGGTCCAGTTTTTTTCTCTCTTTTTTCTGTTCCACAACTTATCTTTTCTCTTTCTATCACACTTGATTACAGCAACTATTCATCATGAAAGTCCTTTGTCTCTCTATTTTCTCTATTTTCATTTATACAGGTACAAATGACTTTCATCGAATCATCCTCGTCTATTCGATTCGCATGTTATCTCTCTGAAGACTTTTTTCCCTCCACAGCCAATTTTTTTCGCCTTTTGTTCATTGTTATTTGCCACTCGTTGTTCATCTCTTTTCCTTTTTTTCAAGTTCCGGAATTGATTCATTGTGACCAATCAGATGATTAATTGAAACTTGATAGCGTTAGTTTCATATTTCAATCGGGTATGAAGACCCTGTTCTCATAAATATAGTATATTGTCAGATTCATATTGTTTTAATTGCAGAATGTCGGAAGAAATTCTCGACTTCAGTGGAAATGGACCAGAAGACGTTCAAACACTTTTGACGAACTCTGAAATGGACCCAGGACTTCTTTCTAATGAAACAACGACAACGATGATGACGGAGATTCTGAGTAGTACTACCACAACTACCATGGGTAGGTCTTTGATTCTGATAATACAAAGTTTATCAGAATTCTTTTTAAGAGTGGAATCTAAAAATTCTAAACAATTTCAGCTCCGATTCTGATTGACTATCATCCAAATCCCTACCGTATCGGTCTTCTTGCTTTCAAATGCCTTCTTATCATCCTCCTATTCACTCTTTCATGCACTATCCGACGGGATTTCTTCAAGTTCTTTGTCCTGTTCCTCATCATCCCACTTTTTATTGAATCTGGATTTGACATTTTCACTGAAATTCATTCCAGCAACGCAATTTACGGAGCTCAGTAAGTAACATAGAGTGGCTAAAACTAAAGAAATCATTGTTTTGTAGGCAATTCGATTGGGACTACTTCAATCTTTCTCCAAGAGAGAACAGCACGGTGACTGATTGGCAGAAGCATGCCGTTGAAAGTTACGGGCAGATTCTTCAAAAGTATACTACCTATCAAGTATATACGTAAGATTTCATTTATTTGGTAAACAAGAAAATGCATAAATCAAGATTTCAGAAAGGATCAATTGTTCTCTATTGTCTCGTATGTTGCTGGTGATTTCATCTTCTGGAGTCTTCTTTTCTCGACAACTACCGTATTCCATTATGCACACAAGGCTGTGGTTCGTCCCGAACAGATCACTTATGATCCAATTTGGTATCAATATTCACTATAAATTCCATAATGGAATCAGAATTTCTTTCAGCAGTTCCTTCTTCAAGATCCAGATCCTTCCTGTTCTGTTCACTGCCATTAACACCCTTATCTCCTTGTATGAAATCCCTCAATGGTCGTATCTTTTCGTCCTCTTCATTCTGAGAATCAATGCTTGTGTCCTCTCATTCGTCATCTTTACTCAACTCTTTGCAGTAAGGCTTTAAAGTTCTTATAGCTCAAATCAAAACTATTTTCAGTCACTTTTCTTATTCTGCCGCCGAAAGGATGAAGTGACAAAGACTTCTCCTTATGAACATGTGAGAAATAGCAAACTTCGTCTTTTCCTCTTTGTTCTTTTCACCATTCTGATTCATGCTCTCACAGCCCCATACCTCAGTAAGTACTAGAATGAAATATTCTTTATTAGTATTTAAAAAAAAACAAGTAACCTTTCAGTTTGGTCTGGCTTGACGATCGCATCTGATGTTGGACATCTCCTCGGATTCAACTGGTACTTACCAATGCACTTCGCTTCTGAAACGTTCCCTCTTCATCTCACGTTCTTCCTTGTTCGTCCATTCGCCTTTGCCATTTTGGCTCTTTTCCTCTTGAACCCATATCGCAGACGATTTGTCAAATTTTTCTGTCCATGCTGCAGAAGACATTAGGCAAAAAACTCCCCTACGAAATTTCTGTAATTATTGCCATCTGAAAAAAATTGCCATAATAACCGTGCTCTCATCAGCCCGGTGATTCTCTTCTCTTGTCCTCAGCTATTTATCAACCTCTTTTTCAAATCACCGACCCAAAATTGTGATATCTGATTTTCACGTTCAACACGTTCCAAATAGTTTTTTTTCAATAAATATAAATTTCCTATTTCATCTTCTATTCCTAGCAATGAGTTCGTCGAATAGCGATGTTTACGAGTTTCCGGAAGACAAGTAAGAACTGAAAATAGTATCAATGATAACTATTATTCTTTATCCCAGCAAAATTGTGCAAACAAATTTGGCCGATTACACTACCGAACTACTCGATGGGAACAGTTCAACGACAAAAAGCACGATTTCAGACGACCCACCTAATCAATTGTTTCTGACATCCCTGCTATCAGTTGGCTCTGCGGCTTTTTTCCTGTATGGGATTGGGTGCTTTCTACAGTACACTAACAATTTTCAGGACATTATCTGCTTCGGTTGTTCGCTTCTCTCCGTTTCTCGGTTCCATACTTTCGATTTCTATTATCCTTATATTCAGAGAATGGAACAGAATATATGGAGGACTTTTGACTCCGCGGCTCAAAGCTTCCATCAACTATTCAACCGTACTAAAAGATAACAAGTAATCTATTAAAAAGCTCATATGCCTATTTCACAGTTCTTATACAGAGAGTATATTCCTTTCTATGACATGGACTGGCTGTTTGGGGGCAAGTACAAACCATACTGTTACGGTTGTACAGGCCCTGCTATCAATCCTGATATGTGTAGGACACCTGATGAGTAAGATTTTGGGATTTTTATAATTTGTGTTACACCTCATTTCATTATCACATTTTCATTATTATTATTATAACTTTCAGTCCCGACAGCCGTTCTCCAACAAAGGAAAGAAACGAGGGAGAGAAACTGATGAAAAATAGCTGATCTCCTAAGTTTCCTATGAATAAACATTTCTTCTATGTTCTTTCTTTCTGTATATTTCTCTTTTGCATCCGATTAATGAATCAAACCAACGCGAAAAACACATGCGCTTTTTCTGCAAAAACCACGCGCGCGCATTGCAATTATCGATTGAAAAACACGGGCGGTGGGCACGCCCCTTTTATAATTTTTTTGGCGCGATTCCCTATTTTCAAATTTCAGGGACTTCTTTCTCGAAGCTTTCGTTTCGCAATAAATGCTTTCTCTTCATTTTTCCTTTCCCTCACTCTTTTTACTTGATTCACGTTAATTTCGAAAATTTTCGAACAGAATTTGTATGTTTCCCTTTCCTTCAATAGCTCTTTTTCTGAATTTTGGTGGCCTAGATATTCTGTTACTTTTCTCCAGCGTTGTTAACTTTTGTATCTATCATCTCCTGTCAAGAATTTTTATAATACGAATTTTCTTCATATTTTAACTGCTCTCATTTATGCATTAACCTTATGGGGTGGTTGATGATTTTTATAAACATAAAAACACATTTTCATGTCATGATCATCATGAAGAACCCTTTCAGCCTTTTCGATTCGTCTTCTAAGCCCTATATATTTTTTAAATATTGTTTTTTTTTCAGTTTCTATCCGAATAAGATGTCGGGTATCGCCGCAGGCCGTCTTGCAGAAGAGAGAAAACACTGGAGAAAGGTAACGGAAACAGCGAAACATAAACTGTATTGTAACTCTGACGTATTCTAGGACCATCCATTCGGATTCATAGCCAAGCCAGTCAAAAATGCCGACGGAACTTTGAACCTCTTCAACTGGGAATGTGCAATCCCTGGAAGAAAAGATACCATCTGGGAGGGTGGACTCTACAGAGTAAGTGTGATGAAATAATTCTGGTCCAATGATCAAAATCTTAGATTCGAATGCTCTTCAAAGATGATTTCCCATCGACTCCACCAAAGTGCAAGTTCGAGCCCCCACTTTTCCACCCAAACGTCTATCCATCAGGTACTTTCCGCCCGAGTTTCATTTTCAATATGGCAATTCAAAAATTTTAGGAACAGTTTGTTTGTCGCTTCTGGATGAGAACAAAGACTGGAAACCATCAATCTCTATCAAACAGCTCCTTGTTGGAATTCAAGATCTGCTGAATAATCCAAATATTGAGGATCCAGCCCAAGCCGAAGCATATCAAATTTATTGTCAAAACAGGTTAGTACTATTATTAAAAGTATATTTACCACAAGTATATTGAATTTTTCAGAGCTGAGTACGAGAAGCGGGTGAAGAAGGAAGCAATCAAGTATTCTGCTGAAATCGTCCAAAAGCAAATGCTTGAATAGATACATTCCACATTAACCACATTCTTTCATTCTTTACTTTCCTTCCCTTTTTTTCCCTGTTTTTATCTCATTTCTTAAACCCATGTCTGTTAACCACATCGAATGTTGACACACCACGAAATTTGAGCACCGAAGCAACTTTTTCTTGATATCTAAAATTTCAATCTAACCAAAAAGCTTTGTGGTGCCTCATTTTTCATTTCGTGCTTGATGAAATACGAGACCTAGAACTTTTCAGTCAAATGCTCTCGACATTTCGTGTGCCTCCATTCAGAATTATCTTTAACTGGTCAACATGTCGAGTAGTTTTTCGAGTTTTCTGAAAACTATTCCTCATAATCTTACTCATTTCGATCTTCGTTTCACCCCGTTTTTCTCCCAATCACCCCAAGGTTATCTCCTTTCTACGGTACGCTAGAACTGGATCACAATTAAATTGTTCCCACCCGTATTCTGACTTTTTAAATGGACCTATTTATATTTTTGTCTCACTAATTTTTGTTTTGTGACGAGCAATTCATGAATATTCTCAGAGTCTTCGACTATGTCCGAATTCATGAAAGGGGTGATGCTCCTAAAGCAAGATTTGACTGAGGTTCCGGCAGAAGAAGCCCTCAAGGGCAAGGTTATTAATAAGAGTTAGAAAAGTTAGTATAGCTAAAAAATTTAGGTGGTCGCTTTATACTTTTCTGCTGGCTGGTGTCCACCTTGCAAGCAGTTCACTCCGAAACTAGTTGTGAGTTAAATAATACACCCGATAGTTGAACATTCTCTTCTCTATTTTCAACATATTTTAGCGTTTCTACCATCATCTTAAAAAAGCAGGGAAGCCCATTGAGGTGGTTTTCTTCTCTAGAGATCGATCAAAGGCTGATCTTGAAGAGAACTTCACGGAGAAGCATGGAGACTGGCTGTGTGTGAAGTATGGAGATGATATTCTGACGTGAGTTGATTTGGGATAACAATGTGAAACTTTGAAAATTGTAGACGTTATCAATCAAAATTCGAGATAAAGACGATTCCGGTGCTTCGAGTCATCAATCCAGCTGGGAAGATGGTTGTTCTGGATGGGAAATCGGAAGTTGTCGACAAAGGAAAAGCTGATCCGCTTGGACTTTTTGCTGCATGGCAGGCAGCTTGCAACAAATAATTTACTGATTTTGCAAATATCTCTAGGAATTTGACACACTTAATCTGATTCAATAAATTTATTACGTAGAGCCAACACCTATGTTCGTTTTTGACCTGCAGGTACACCCGCCTTACTTCCTATTTTCCACGCGATGGCTGGATGGCAAGCCACAGAGAGGTTCTGAAGCATTTTCTCGTGAATACAAAGATGATGCACTTCGCGTTAGATTTCCTCGATGATATGAAGGTTCTATCGCTTTTATCTTTTAATGAGGATATCGTCTTAAAACTATAGTCTTAGTTTCCAGAGACAATTAATGTCATTGGGGAAAGATAGATATTCGTTACCTCGCTCTTACAAACGGGTGTCACATGCGAAAGAGAAAGCTCGGCCAGAGTTGAGAAAGTTCGGATGGGACACTCTTGGATATGCCGAATCGTTCAATCCACCTCCTCTCAAAGACACAATTCCGCGGTATTTCAAACAAATGTTCGATTTTCTAGGATATATCCAATTACAGAGTAGATGGCAAGAAAATTTCAGTCGACGAATTTCGTCGTGATTTTGAGAGACCGCGAATTCCTGTTATTCTAACAGGGCTCACAGATGATTGGAATGCACATGAGAAATGGACACTTGAAGTAGGAGATAATCTTATTACTTTATTAACTGATAATTCTATTTATTTACAGCGCCTTTCTAAAAAATACCGCAACCAAAACTTCAAATGTGGGGAGGATGATCATGGGAATTCGGTGAGAATGAAGATGAAGTACTATCACGACTACATGCTCAACAACAGAGATGATTCACCTCTCTACATTTTTGATAGCAGTTTTGCCGAGGTTTGAGGGGATGAGCTATTGATTCAATTTTCAAATTTTCAGAGAAGAAAAACCAAAAAGCTGTCAGAGGATTACAAAGTTCCCAAGTTTTTCGAAGACGACTTGTTCCACTATGCTGATCACAAAAAACGCCCACCACATCGATGGTTCGTGATGGGTCCTGCTCGTTCTGGAACTGCTATTCACATTGATCCACTGGGAACAAGTGCATGGAACTCATTGCTTCTTGGATACAAACGATGGGTGCTAATTCCTCCGAACGCGCCTCGTGATTTGGTTAAACCAATGGCTCATGAAAAAGGAAAGCACCCTGATGAAGGAATCACTTGGTTTCAAACTGTCTACAAAAGAGTTCGCAGTCCTGCTTGGCCAAAAGAATATGCTCCAATCGAATGTCGACAAGGTCCAGGAGAAACAATGTTCGTTCCTTCTGGATGGTGGCATGTCGTCATTAATGAGGGACTCACCGTGGCTGTCACTCACAACTACTGTTCCGTCGAAAACTTGCATCTCGTTTGGCCTAAAACAGTGAGAGGTAGACCGAAATTGAGCAAGCACTGGCACAGAAAGTTGGTTATTTTCTCCTTATTCGATTTATCACAAATTCATCGTTCAGACTCGCCGAAAGTCGCCCCGAAGTGTTGAAGATCATTAATTCTTGTACTGATACTCCACCCCAAAGTCTCAATGACTCTTCCAGTGACTCGTCAAGCTCGTCTTCTTCTTCAGATGACTCGTCTGATTCTGAGACGGAGGAAGATAGCGGTCGCTGTGGATTAGGTAACCGAAAAAGAAGAAACGATGTTTGTACTAGCGAATGTCCCGAGAAGATTTCCAATTCCATGGTTTAATTATTATGCAATTTTTATCCAATTTCACGTACTCCTGTTATAACTCGCATATTTTGCTTTTATTCTTGTTTAAACAATTGTTTTCTGTTCTATGAACAACTTGAACTTTATTTGAGTCATAAATATTATTAGACTTGTCCAAATTTGAAAATATCGTATGTCTCTTCTTGTTGCTGTGTTTCTTCGACCTTTTCTCTTTTCGATTTCTCTCCTCCATCACCGTATCCGGTTTCCGGAGCTTCCTGTGAAATGACAGATGACTCCACGAGTGCTTCTCGTTTTGGACATGGGCAATACGCAGCATCGGCTCCTGGGATTCCAGCTTCTCCTGGTTGTCCAGGTGTTCCCATTGGTCCTGGCATTCCTGGTTTTCCAGGTGGTCCTGCCGGTCCTGGTAATCCATCAGGTCCTTCTTCAGCAACTCCGGGTGGTCCAGCTTTTCCTGGTGCTCCTCTTGGTCCAGGGAATCCTGCTGGTCCTGGTTCTCCAAGCGAATAGCGGACTCCTGGCATTCCTTGTCTTCCATGTGCTCCTGGTGTCCCTTTTGAACCTGGAGCTCCTGGATCTCCAGCTGGTCCTGGTGGTCCTGGGCGTCCCATGTTTCCTTGTCTTCCAGGCATTCCATCTCTTCCTTTAGGTCCTGGTTCTCCAATTGCTCCTGGTAGTCCACGAGGTCCAGGTGCTAAAATTTTCAGTTATAGGAAAGATTCTAGTTAAAAAGACTTACGTCCAGCAGGACCTTGATGCAGCTATCATCGTTTCTCATGATCTTAACAAGTTCTGATCCGGACATTCCATGTGGTCCAGGTGCTCCATGCTCTCCAGGTTTTCCATCCATTCCAGCTGGACCAGGTGGTCCAGGAGGTCCAGGAGGACATTGATTTTGAGTAAGACAATCTGAGAATTTCAGACTATTTTAGGTATTTGATAAATGATTAACTCACTGCAATGAGCTGGAAGATCAGAACGCTTCTGACGAACCGATGCAGAGTTGCTCACAAGTTCAGACTTGAATCGTTTGTCATTCAAATAGACAACTTCATTCCAAGCATCATCAGTTTTTCCTTGTCCTTCTTTGAAACTTATCATTGAATTGTCAAGAAATTGATTGATATCATCACATACGGACGTGGCAAAAAATGCACAAAAAGCGATACATAGAACACTGACAAGAACACTTGTCCAAGTTGCAATCGCCGCACTATCCACCGTCATGATGGTGATGTCAGAAATGGAAGAATAGCGAAGAGGTGACAGGAGGGAATGTCTTTTTTATAGAAGAACGAAAAAGGAAAAGGAGTATAAACCGGTTTGGGAGGACGGAGAGGAATGGCTTTTGGATAACGAGGTGTGTAAGCAGTTTTGGCATGTTCGATGGCGGTTTTTCCGAAGATGGAAACGTTACGCAACGATAGACAAAAAAGAAGGATGGATGAAATTGTATAGACGGGGGCAAACGTTTCAGATACATTGTTAGTTGTATGTGATCTGAAATGTATGTGCCTGGACAACAGGAACATTGCTATAATATCTCTAGTTTTAAGAAATACCACAGATGACCAGAATGAGTTTTTCGAGAAAAAGAACTGAAACGGACCCTGAATCCGGAATAGAATTTGACGAAATCTAAAAACAGAATCAGGAATGAAATTAATCAGTTGGTGTATACTTTCCAGTGCTGAACCCCCTGAACTCCGCTCACAATACCTGTAATCCTATAAAGAGGCTTCGTCACTTTTATTCCGGGGTCTAAAAATTGGAAAATTAGACATTCAGATTTCAGAAATTCCTAATTTAGAATTCTGGTATTACCGTATTTTCTCTAATAGAACGCCACCAAAACCGTCAACTTTGAGCTCATATATCTCAATTCCACTAAAAGTTATCAAAAAGTGGTAAACTAATAAAATGTTTTTGATATCACGGTAAGCATTTTATCTGTTGACTACTTTTTGATATCTTCTACAAGGAATGGGCTTAAAGGAAATAATGTGGGTAGGCTTCTATTAGAGAAAATACGGTGATTTCGGAATTCAATTTTTTTTTGTTTAGATATTAGGAATTTTGAGAACTTTAGTTCAAAGATAAATGATTTTTAAATTAAAGGTTGAAAACTTTTTTTTTTTTGAATAAAGAAAAGTGTTCCAAACTTTTAATATTCTGGAATTTCAAAATTTCGATTTCAGAATTTTGAAAATCCAGAATTCTAGAAACTCGGAAGTTGAGAAATTGAGAAAGTCAAAACTCGGAGATTTACAAATCTTTCGTACAAGGAATTTCATTTCAATAATTCGAAAACTCTGAATTTTCGAATACACGAATTTCTAAGGTTTACAAATTTGTTGCTTTCTGAATTTCTAATTTCAGAACTTCTGGATTTCTGATTTTCCGTGTTTTTTTTCCTAATTTAATAGATCAGGTATTTGAAAGTTTCAGAATTATTCGAAAATAATTCTAAAGTTAATCTCTTTGGAAACTAATCGATATAGGGGCACAAAATCCACAATTCGGGGGTACGAAAAAACCTGAGAAAAACGAGTTTTCCTCCAATTTTGAATTCTGCACCCTCTCGCTTTTACCCGTTGAACCCCTAAATTGTTGTAACCTTCAATCGTTCTGATAGCACTGACCACGCTCCAATGGCATCTTTAAAATAATCACAGGTGGATTGTCATTCTTATTTTAACCCTTCGAAAATGTATTCAACAATAGTTTCTCTTTCATTCCAGGTAGGTACTTTCTATGTCTTTTTCGAGATAGAATGCCATTCAAAATTTTAAAGCTAATTTATCTCGGTTCCTGTGAAAGATATCAAGAAGGGGTCAACTGACGAAAAGTTTATCATAATATCTTGAATACTTTGTCAGTTGGCCGCTTTTTGATATCCTTCACAGGAAATGAGATATATGGGTTTAAAGTTGAAAGTTTGGGTGGAATTCTTGTTTTTGCGGTAAATGTTATTTATGATTCAGTTAACACTTTTGATGGTTCTTTCTGTAATGTTCTTATTATGTGGAACAAACTCTCAAACAAAACAAGCGACCACTAATAATAAATCCAAAGTGAGTGGCCTATTTTTTTCAGTAAGTTTCAGTTATTCGGAATTTCAGATTTCTGTTGCTAAAACTAAGAAGTCGAAAAAGAAGTCGAAGAAAGTCAAGGAAGAAGGTGAAACATCGCAAAAGTCATATCCTGCATTCGTGGTAATATATGAATACGTTTTATTGTCGAATCAAAATGCTAACACCTGAAAATCTCGCAGGCGGCGCTCGTGTCGATTTACGATGCCCCGCCCCCAAATCTGATACTGTATCAAACAAAACCAGTTTCTGTAACCTTCTGTAACCTTTGTGAGATTTTTCGAAACGATTTTAGATTTTTGGTAAACATTAGATCGCTAGAATCTCTAGAATCAGTTTTTTCTCGCTCGAAAATAGGTCGTTCAGTAAAATATGTATTTTAGATGCCCACGAAGAGTGAAATGAAGAGAATCAAGTCAGCAGAGGGCAAGAAAAAAGGAACGAAAGATGGGTTCTATCAGGTATCGACAAAAAATCGAGACAAAAATAAGACTTTTTAAAACTGTCTTTTCAGGAAAAATCAGACGAAGACGACACTCTTGAAAAAGTTGAAAGTCTTCACTTGGAAATGTCCGATAAGACTAGGCGGGCTGCAAAGAAGAAGGCAAAGAAAAATGTATAAAGTCTTGCTAATTTTTTCTGTTTTATCATTGAACTTGTATTTTTTGCATAACAAAAAACAATTACAATTTATTGGTTCTTGAAAACAGACACTTAACAACAACTATTTTGAAAACTCTAGTTAAGATGTCACTTGACCCGGATGCTTATCTGGACGATTCTTTCGTACAAGGAATTTCATTTTTCTGTTCATGTCTTCATTGAAAATTGCCGTAGATGCTTCCATTGACAACGCCTTCCTTTGCATATACGGTTTTTGGTAAAATTGCGTGCGACGGATGATTTTCAGCATGCCTTCTGAATCCATTAGTCTGGAATATTTTCATTTCTGAATACGATCAACATTTTTCAACAAAAAAAACCTATTGAGAAGTCCGAAAGCTCCATCGACATCGTTGTTCTGCACCATAACAGTTCGAGTTGCAAACCTTGGGTGTGCATTCCAAACACCTTTGAAAAGCTTGATTGCAAATGGCTGTGAAATAGTACCTCTCCAAGACCATTGACGTACCATCTTGAGAAACTAATTATATTCGACTATTTGAAAAATTGATAGATCATTTATTTATTTTATGGATCAACCATGTGAAAAAAAAGAGATGAAAAGAAAACAAGAATCGATTTATTGTTCTCAAAAAGTCTACACAATGGTTCGTGACATACTGAATAATCTACTTTCTGCGAGCGGCAGCGCGAGCGTCGATCTCTTCTTGAACCTCTGGAGCAAGAGCATTGTCTGGTCTTGGGCGAAGATCGTCAAGTCTGAAGAGGACGGAAGTTGGGTATGCCAAGAAGGCCACGCAGATGAATCCGTAGAGAGCCACCTAAAAAACGAACCGATTAGAAATGAAAGACACGATTTTTCGAGTTATTATGAGCGAAAATTTGTCTCTAATTTACCTTCTCGTTGATAGAAGTGAAGCGAAGTGGTGGAGTAGAATCGACTCCCTTGTGGAGCGAGCGGCGAATGAACTGTTGGTTTCTGGCCAAGGAAAGAATAGCACGGTTCATCATCCTGAAATAAATAAATCATATTATCATGACTTCAGCAGGTTTTGACGGCAAATGCATAGGAAAGAAAGACACATTTTCAGATGGTTTAAAAATCGAAGGAGTTCAACGCAATATAGTACGGAACGACAGCAAAGCAGAAAAAGAAATGTACTTTACACATTGATCAGTGTCTTAGATACATTTTATGAAAAAGCTGGAAGTATGGCTTAAAATATAGCTGAAAAACAGAAAAAGCACAAAGCGAAAACGTACTTATTCTTTGAACGAGAGAAAATGCGGAAACAATAAGCGCAGACGGCAGAACATTCAAGGCGCAGAGAAGGCTAACGGAAAATAGGTCTGTCGTCTCGAGACCCGTACTTGGCTACGTGCCAACTGTAAGAATACGAGAGGATTTTCTTACTTTTGCTATCGAGCTGTTCACTCGAACAACACACAAATTCGATATTTTTCGACTTTCCAGATTATCTCAATAGCTTTTCATTCTCATTACATGAGCAATATATGAAATTTTTTGTGTTTGCTACATTATTTTGCTTACCGACTGACTAAAACTTCTCTTCGGCTATTTAATCGATACGCCGACTGGTTTCAAAACAATATTGAAAGAAGCTTTTTTTACAGAAGCCGTTTGATTCCAACATAGAAAGAGTATACGAATGAACGAAGAACAGGGTAAAGAAAGTCTGGAAGTGGTGAAGCTTGAAGTCCGAGATGATGAAAGCATTCATGTGACAGACGATGTTAAACCTTCTGTGAAGAAAGAAGAAGATGAAGAATACGAAGTGAGAAAAATATATAATTGTCGAATATAAAAAATAGTTTTTAAGGAAGGATCCGATTCGGGAAGTGAAGACGAAAGGTGTAAGAAATGTGGCAATAATAGCACTGACGACAAGATAAAAGCGGAGAAGCATGAACAAAAGAAAACAAAGCTTCTCATGAGCAAGAAGAAGTCTCACTTGAATCTACCAATTTCTGACTGGATCTCTTGTGAAAATTGCCAAGACTGGTATCATTTCGCATGCACTAGTCTTGAACAATGGGAGTACCACATCTACGAACATTGGCATTGCGATACATGCACACCACTTGTTGGCCCAAGCAAGAGTATGTTTAAAACCCTTGCTAAGCTTCATTGAGTTGAAAATGCAATTAAATTTCGGGTTTTCAACCTAGAAAAAGTTATTTTCAGGATTTGAAAAGCACCACCACAGCGATATCGTTGGTACAACGTCGATGAGAAGGACAAACCAATGGAAGTTGGTTCCGAGACATGGATTAATCAACTACGAACTTGGGAGTGCAATATTCCAGCTCCGTAAGAATATCCGAAAAATAGGAAGCTTCGCAAAAATATTTTTTTTCAGAACTGATCATGAAGTTTGCATTGTGGAAAACGGCCACGACTTCAAAACAAAGTTCCATGAGTTGGGAGGGCCTTATAAATGGTCCAAGGTATTTTTGGTCAAAAATCCAGAGGGACTCGATATGAAAATGCCTGGACCAGACTTTGATTTGGAAGACGTCGTGAATATCATGTCACCTGATTATGAAGTGGATACAATCGATGTTTTCAATCAAAACACCTATTCGATGAAACTCTCCACTTTCCTCGAAAAGTTCAGAGATAAGTCTCCGAGATTTCTTCTCTATAACTTTCTCTCGCTGGAGTTTTCGGATAACGAAACGTAAGTATTTTCCAATAAACAAAAAAGAACTAAATGATTCTCATTGAAGGATGAAGAACCTGGCAAAACCGCCAAAATATGTTCAAGACATCTCAATTGTGGGCAAGCTGTGGCCAGACACCTCTTCTGATGCTTACAATGAGCTTCTTTCCAGTGGTCTCTTTTTGCCAGAAGATAATAGACCAAAGGTGGAGCAATTTTGTCTCGCAGGAATGGCTCACTCCTATACAGATTTCCACGTTGACTTTGGAGGCAGCAGTGTCTATTACCATATTTTCAAAGTAAGTCGTTCATTTATGGAAATCTAAATGCAAAAATAAATTTCAGGGCCAGAAGATCTTCTATATCGCAGAGCCCACAGAAGCGAATCTCGCAGCTTACGAAGCACACGAAACATCTCACTCTTCATCCGAATGGTTCGGCGATAAAATCAAGGGGCAAGTTAAAAGAGTGGTTATCAATCAAGGAGAAACTCTACTGATTCCTGCTGGATGGATCCACGCTGTTTACACCCCTGTTGACTCTCTCGTTTTTGGAGGAAATTTTCTTCACCTCGGAAATCTTAAAATGCAAATGCGCATTTATCGCCTCGAAAGTTCTGTACGCACAGCAATAAATTCGGCTTCTAAGTTCTACTTCCCAAATTTCGAATATCTCCACTGGATGTATATGAAGAACATTCTTATTCCAAAAATCAAAGGTATCATTTACTTTTGAAGGTGCTCGATCTTTAATATTAATTTTACAGAAACTGTCGAAGAGGGATCGGATATGCGTGAAGTAGATGCTGGTCTCTGGAAGGCTGCACAGTACATCTCGAAGAAACTCGACGAATGGTACAAAAGAGAGCTACAGGAAGGAGAAGGTACTGCCGAAAAACAGGAAGTTGATGTTTCTTTGGAAGAAAAGGGAAAAACTCTACGGACAATTGAGAGACTTATCTATGCTCAAGTTAAAAAGTTCGAGCGCCCCGGAAAAGCCACAAAACGTACATGTCATGAGGCGACCGAATACGACGACGATTATCGTCCCAACAAAGTGAAAAAGCATCCAAAACTTTCAAAAAAGAATAGTGTTGAGAACATTTCAAAGAAGGATAAAATTAAGAATGGAAATGATAATATCGGAGACATTTCTGTTCAATCTGCCTCAAGTGTACCAAATGGATCATTGAAGCTAAAAGTCTTGTTGGGACCTTCGGAGGATCAAAAGAACGCTATACAGATGTTTAACAGTACACATTCTTCATCTGGTCGAGCAGTAAAAATTAACCAAGCAGTAACTGATCTTTGTGGATCCCACCTTGAATCTCGTGTCGAAGAAATCCCTGAAAGACCCACCAAGTCCTTTGCGGAGCTTAACGATGAACTGGAACGTTGTGAGGCTATTCATTCTGGGGAAAAAGTGAAGAAAGTGAAGCCACCAAAGGTTCCAAAAGAGCCGAAAGAGCCTAAAGAGAAGAAAGACAAACCAGGTAACAACAAATATATGTTTAATGCATAAATCAGTTTTTTTTTCAGCCAAGAAGGCGACAACAGTTCGTGATCGTCTTTCGAAAAAACTCAAGTTGTAAAAAATCTACCTCCGTGAAGAAACATGTGCAATCAATCTATAAGTCCCTACCGTCTTTCTATATAGCTGTGAAAGCTACGTCTTTCTATATATAGCTATGTCTTTCCATATAGCCATATATACTTATGAAATTATTTACCTGTATCCATGTGTTAATTATTGAAATCAAATTTATCTTACGAGGTAACATGTTTTAACAACTTCGATCTCCAGATCATAATAAATTTGATTGAAAGAAATTTTGTTATTTTTCAATGTGTTATATCGCATTCATACTAGTCTTTGATCGTGAAGATCATCAGGATATAAAGGACAACTTCAGATGAGCGAAAAGAATGTTGATATTGCTCCTTCGCAACTTGGAACTAAAGACTTGTAAGATACGAAATGACTTACCCAATTATTGTTTCATTTTAAAGCTGGGATAACCGGTATGAAATGGAGCTCGCTAACTTCGAAGAGCACGGCGACGAAGGGGAAATATGGTTTGGAACAGCGGCAGAAAACAGGATTATCAAATATCTGATCGACTCGAAAACAGCAAAAAATTCAGAAATTCTCGATTTAGGATGTGGAAACGGATCAGTTTTGAGAAAATTGGTATCTAAATAAATAATGTTCTTCTGAAATTCGAAATTGCGAAATTTCAGAGGTCAAAAAGGTTTTCGAGATTGACAGGAGTTGATTACTGTCAAAAAGCAGTCGATCTGTCGAATGCGGCTTCGAAAGCAGAAAAAGAAGAGGATAATGAAGAAGGAATGATCGATATCGAATTTGAGGTAATTTCTCATTTCTGGAAAAAAAAGTAAGGTTTCGAACTAAAACAACAAGACAGAAAAGAGACGCAGTGATGTTAGTTTACTACATTGCAAAAGTGGGAAACCAACGTTTGTGGGGGCAACGAACTGAAAGTTGTTATTGAAAATTCAAAAAAAAACTATGATTAATACAGGTTATTATGATGGTATGCAAAAATCGGTACTATGGAAGAGAACATCTGTTGGTCGCGATTTGAAATTTGGCACCGAGCCAATTTTGGACGCGTCGCGTGTCAGCATTGCGGCTTTTAGCTGAAATGAGAAGCGTGACGGAGGACACTTTCTCTAGGTGCCAGTTAGCGATGTCGTAAAAGTTTTCAACACGAAAATTGTCGAAAAGCAATAGTAAAAAAACGCACCGAAAACAATCTTTTTCTATTCCACAGCTCCGATTTTTTCAATACCAGCATAACATGCTGCCAACGATTCCCACTTTTCAGCAATTAGATATTACTGCTCCTCGACCCGACTTCCTATCTTTACAATTCGACGTAGTTCTTGACAAGGGAACATGGGATGCAATGAGCCTTTCAGAAGAACGTGGCGATCGGCTGAAGGCGTACACCGATCTTCTCGACAAAGTGCTCAATAAGAATGGTCGCTTCGTAGTCTTCTCCTGCAATTTTACTCTGTATGTCACTGTGTTTCTACAGAACTGATTCTTTTTACAGAATTTCTTTTCAGAAATGAGCTTCAAGAGCAATTTGGTGGTTCGATTCTGGAGATGGTGTGTGAAGTGCCAGCGACTCATAGCTTTTCTTTCGGTGGAAAACAAGGTGTCACTTCAACCGGTGTCGTCTTCCGGAAGAAGGCCTCATAAACATCTATTAGTTATTATTGTTGTTTTTGTTTCCTTATTTTCTTCTTCCTCGTTTCTCAGTTATATAATAAAAGTGTTTTCTTCCAAGTAGTCTCCACTCGTCATTCTCTCACTTCTGTTCTCTTTTACACTCTCTAATCAGGTGCATCTTCATCATCACCATCATTTTAACGCGTGTTGCCTGCGAGATCTGGCAGGCAGCAATGTGGAAGACAGATGGCAGACTCTCCTGTCGAGAAGACACTACTTTTCGCAAAAAATGGGAGTTTGATAGGCGGCGCCTTCTTAGGCCCGATCGTCTCCAGGGACTGCTTGGCAGCAGAAGAAAAGAAGGAAGGCGATGGGGTGCTTGTGACCCGAAGGCTCACATTTTCTTCGAAGAGCTCACACAGATTCCACGTCTTCTTCTTCTTCTTTTTCGTCGCCTCATTAATCATTCATTCAATCTGTTGTGTTACATGTTCCTTCCTTCTTTCTTTTTTTGCATTTTTGTAAATACCCTATAACCAAATGTTTCCTTGTTTTTCTTTCATGTCAAACCAAAAAATATGACGGCTTATTTCACATGCATCTTGGTTTACAAGAGAAAGCTTGGAATTCAAAAAATTTTAAATATTCAGTTTTCTATTATTAATGATTCGACCGATTCTCCTGTGCGTATTAGAAATAACTGTAAACTATGTTCTTTTTATCTCATAATTTAGGTCACAAATGGAAAACCTTCGTTTAGGCTCTAAGCATCCTCGAACTGTGTTTTTCTTTTTTGGAAATGAAGTATTAGGTTGATTCACTGTATATGAGACTTTTAGACAGGTTTAGGCTTCCATTTACACATATTTAAAAATCTGTACTTCCCTAATCGAATCAGAGTCCCAAACGGCACTTCCTTGGACATGATTTTTTAAAAAGATCAGCGATGCACTTCCATCAATTTTAATTGCCAATTTTAGCTCCATGGTATGACCTTTATCAATTATGTGAACTGTTTCGTGGTCATCTGAACTTTCGTCCCGCCCATCTTCTTCTTCTTTTCCTTCTTTTTCAATAATTTGATAAATGGTGCCAGGCGTCCCCTCGTGCCATCCCGGGGGCGCTAATTGTCAGTGGTGGTGTGGTGCCATCAAAAAGTTTGATTTCATTGTGCTCTCCGCCTCGGGGAGGCCTTTTTCTTCTTCTTCTTCCATTTTCCTCCTTTTCCTTTTCCCTACCACAAACGTCGTTTCTCTTCTTCTATTGCAACGGCGACGACGGAACGTTTTTTTTTTGCATAAGTTCCTCTTCTTTTTTTCAATTTTGTTGTTCGGTTACATCGTTGACGGCTCCTGAAGACTCTGTTTGGATGAAGACCTCCGACACGACAATTTGTTGTCTTCCAGAAAACGAAAAACGAGAAACAGAAGCTGCCGTGTCGACAAAACATAATAAAATAATTCAATTACCGTCTCTGTGTCGTAACCTTCTTCTCCTAAACTGCTCTTCATTTTTTAGTCCGTTTTTTCATTTCGATTTAATTGTTCTTATAGAAAAATGAAGCCTCATTTATGTGATCAGCCAATGAATCTTACACGTCGAGCCTGCTGTCAACTGGTCTTATTCCTGAACGATACTGAACGGGTGAGTGATTTTTACTAGAAGATTTTTATGAACTTCGAAAAAATTTTTCCTTGTTATCTGGGTTTAAACTTTCTCTGGTAATCAGAAGAGTTGATCCTCTTATAGGAGCTCCCCAAGCTGTCAAATTTGACATCAATCTTGGTCTCATCAGATATATCAAAATTGTGTTAGCTGATAAATTATTTATCATAAAATCACCAATGTTTTATCAGTTGCCAAGTTTTTGATATCTCTCACAGGAGCCGAGATAATTGAGCTCAAAGTTGACGATTTAGGAGGGCTTCTCTTATCAAACTACTGAAGCTATCCAAGTCTGAAAAGTAATATTTCTACAGTAACATATTGTTCAGTTTTGAAAAAAGCGTAATAATTTCGTTTAGAGCATTCTCCATTGTTTTATTTTCCCTGGAAATTTTCCACATCTCCGTCTTCTAGGCATATCTTAACTATCCCCACTGGAATACCGTAATTGCGCTGTTTTGTACGAAATAAATGACTGTAGCTATTGCTTGACCAGCTTTCCATATTTTGAAAGTCGTCTTCTTTTCTTTTTGGCTCCTTTCTGACATTTCTCCTCAAGGAAAACACTATTTCAAAAAATAAGGAGAGTATTTATCATGTGAGATTTCTGTCAAAGAATCCCCGTGGGATCTTCGTTCCTCCATCGATGCCTCCCTCTCCTCTCACTCTTCCATAATAATTGATGACTTTTTGTTTTTTCTGTTTCAGGTGCCGCCTTGTTCCACTTCAATGTTCCCTTCAACTACTAGTCATGTAAAATGATCCGCATTGAACTTCAGATGCTAATCTTTGATGTTCCAGAAACCGCCTATATATCTAGTGGAGCCAATCGAAGAATCAGAAGATCATCTCACTTTCTTCATTGGAATTTTTATGTTGATGATTATTGCATTGGCGTTTTCAATCGGATTGAGTAAAATGACAAAGCCAAAGTAACTATTCACCCAATGCTCAATTTTTACTATAACTTTCAGAGTGTCAATAAGTCGATATAACAATTCAAACTCTTCATATGACATCTTGATGTGGCTTTCAAGTAATCCAACAAACAGGTAAAATCCATTCTAACACGAAACTATCAGAACTATCATCGGGGCTTTCTTGACCTTTTTATTACTGTTCCAGTAAAAAAATTAAGAAAAAACACTTTTGATCAACTAAATGACTTTCATGGCAGCGAAAACTGCTCATTCGTTAAAAAATATCGAAATTAGTCAATTTTTATGATTATTAACGAAAACAACAAATCTAAGCAAGCAAATTTTTAACTTTAAAAATTACAAAGACACAATTCTTTATAATTCACTGAAATTGGCATATTAAATGAAACTCTTCACAGAAAAAAAATCACATTTCTTGCTAGTCTAGAACCCGAGATACAGTTCTTTCAATCTTTATAGAAACTCAGAAAGTTAGAGTGTCTCGTTATCAGTGTTCCTCACCTCTCATACCTCAACTAAATAACTACTGAAAATTTGGCTCCGCGTCACTTCGAAACCAGTCACTTCGTAACCGGTTCAAAACCGTGGTAATGCAGGCGAATGGATAAATTGCAGACTACAAAAACAACTTTAGGGTCTTTAAATATGCTTTTTCTGATAGAACACATAATGAAAATCGAAAAATTTAAATTTTTTTCGACTTTTGAGAACATGAAGTTTTTGTTTTTTTCGATTTTCATTATGTGTTCTATCAGAAAAAGCATATCTGAGAAAAGTTGTTTTTGTAGTCTGAAATTTGTCCATTCGCCTGCATTACCACGGCTTCGAAATGAACGATTTCGGAGTGACTGCGGAGCCGAAATATTTTAATAATCAATCAATGAAATTCTGAAACCTTGAAGTTCTAAGATTCAGAAAATCTTTAATTCAAAAAAACACTGAAAATAAGAATTTCTGGAATTTTGAGAATCGGAAAAAACATCTGAAATTTTGAGATTTTTGAATGTCTAGATTCCTGTCTTGTTTTGAAGTTTTTCTTTTTTTTTCTTAGGTTTTTAGATTTTGAGAGTCTGAAATTCTAAGATTCTAAGATATTGTTGGTTGGACCTAAATCGAATAACTGTGAAATTACGGTCTAATAAACAAAATAATGTTCCATAATCAATTTATTGAGTTCAATTCAAACAATTGGACAACGAAATTTGGTTCTCCAATTCCGATAACAAATTTTGAAATTAAAGATCCTGAAAATGTAAAATCTCAAAAACCTTTATTCTAATGGATCCAAGGTTTTATATTTGACACCTAAGATTCTTATAATGCTAAATTCCAGGGATTCATGAATAAATTACTAATTTCAGATCATCGATGCTCCTGCTCCTCCGATCCATGTGTAGAACACCAGCAACACCGGACAGCAGTGTGTCCGTTGTCTCCTCAAATATCCCGTCAGTTTTTTCAAAATTCGATTTTCAATCTTTCCTAACAACATCATTTTCAGACTTCTCCCTTCTTACCAACGAGCCAGTCAGTCGACGTCAGCGAACACACCACCACCTCCCTATTCTGCCACGTCATCACTGGTCGCCTAATGATCCCCCGTTCATTTTCTAATTGTTGTTTTTTCGGGTTATATCACTTTTCGCTTTGTACTTTGAATCCCTCAGATATTTATAAATTTTGAAATTTCCTTTTATTTTCTTTGTTGAGTTTTGTAGTTTAAACATTGACACCATAAGCTTCGATCATGAAAAAAATTGAAATCCGATCCGAATCTCCTCGGCGTTTGGTTTCGATGTTTTTTTCTCAAGAGGTTTTTGATGTTCTAATGTGAGAAAAAAGGCTCCGCGTCACTTCGAAACTGCGACACTTCGAAACCAGTCATTTCGAAATTGTGGTAATGGATAGATTTCAGACTACAAAAACAATAGACGAACAAGGGGTTTCAAATACCCTCTTTCTGATACGACACATTCTAAAACTCGAAAAATTCCTAGAATTTTTTTTCTGAAAAAAAAAACTAAATTTGAAATTTTTTTAAATCTCAGAATGTGTTTTATCAGAAAAATCATAATGGAAGACCCAAAAATTGTTTTTGTAGTCTGAAATTTAACCATTTGTCTGTATTACCACGGTTTCGAAATAACTGGTTTCGAAGTGACGCAGAGCATAAAATTGACCATTAAATTGTGTATTCTTTGATAGCCCCCGAGGAGGAGCATCGAAGTGTACAGTAGTTGAGAGAAATACAGTGTAATCGGAAAGAGAGACTATGTTTAGTTAGAGAGCTCCGATCGGAAAGGGAGGGTGAAATACGGATTAACCGTCTCTTTTGGCTTCTGCATCAGCAGGCTATACGTGTTTGTGTGCTGCTTTTAGCGCATTCGTCTGTTTATTTGAAGAGTACCTCCCAGTTGTTGGCGGTTTAGGTGGGATGTGCTCATCCATCTGATGCTTTTGCACTCCTGTTCTTTTTTCTTCTTTCGGCACCACCACCATCCATCCCCATCTTCTCCATTATTTCACTATTTACATTGTGCAAGTAGTCACGCAATTAGGCGCATCGAGTTTCAGGAGACCGGACGCTTCTGGAGTGTATCCAGAATAAGAAGTCGATGTTCCCCACAAATGATCACATACGACGTCAATCCCTCTCTAAAAGTTCTGAGAATAGATCCTTCTATTTGTTTCTCCTTCTCCCATGATATCTGGATTCTCTTTTAATTCCAATTCTAAATTCCCACAGTAATCCTTTCTATTCTCTCCCATCCATTTGCACTTCTTATGCACCTTTCTCATGCCGTTCTATCTTGGCTTGCGATAGGATAAAACACTTAAAATCACTGTTGATTTTTGTTACTCGATCAGAGGCAAATAGAATGTGAACTGTTATACAAGTTTATTTAGAAATGAAGATGATTTGGTCCGAAACGAGAATGAAATGTTAATTTTAGACTCCGAAAAGAAAACAGTTTCAAAATATTGTGATGACTGTTACTGTACAGTTTGAACTTCGTTTGCAAAAACAGTGTATTCAAAAACAGACTACCTTAGTTAATCTGATAGAAGCCCACCCGAGCCGTAAACTTTAAGCTCTATTATCTCGATTACTGTGAAAGATATCACAAAGTGATTATCTGACAAAATATTTTTGATATTGATAAACATTTTGTGAGTTGAGCACTTTTTGATATCTTTAACAAGAACCGAGATATATATGAGCTCAAAGTTGGACGTTTGGGTGGGCATATGTTAGACTGTTTGTCGTATTCCAGTTTGCTCGATTTCTGACAAATTCAGGCTGTTTCAGTCTAATTATATCCGATTTCAAGCCATTTCGAACTTCAAAATTCTTAAATTTTTGCAGGGAACATTTTAAATTTTTAGGTAAAAAGTATTCGGTTAAAGTTGAAATTGTATTTTAGTGAAACTAAATTTCGGGTCGATTTGAGTTCAATTTTCTGCCAAAATGTAGAATTTCAAACCTGAAAATTAGAAAATGTTGTCCTCAAAATATGAATTATGACATTAACATCGAAAACATGTGTTCTAGAAAATTTTTAGGCCAAAAAACTCAATTTTCGCACTGCAAATCCTATTTTACAGGACTGCTTTTCAGCAATGTTAGAATGAAAATCCAAAATTTCGCTTTTCTAAAAAAAAAACTTTAAAACTTTTGAAAAAAAGTATTTATGCTGAGAAACAAATTCTGAATGTGCGAAAATTGAGAAATAAATTTCAAAAGTATTCATTTTGTGATTTTGGCCGAAACTGTAAAGCTTCACTTTCAGCCCAACTAGTAGCCCGGCCCAAATTACCACCTGCCCATTCTCTTCAAAAAAGAGTTGCTTAATTGCTCATCAGAATGTTTTCCGTTGTATCTACCCGTCTTAATCTTCTTCCGACCACATTCCACTCAAGCTTTCCTCCTTCCTGTGCAGTCATTGTTTGCCCTTTTCTTCTTCCTTCGTTTTCCAAAATATGCATCCCTTCCGTTTTTCTTCAGCTCCAACTACCCACCAGATTGTGTCACCTAATATTACCGTTTCCTTTCTTCTGCTGAATTTTTTCACCTATCCAAAAACGGCAGTTTGGACGCAACCAATTTTTTTTCCCGAAAGGGACATTGGCGCCCCCTACCAACCCCGAACATATCATATTTCTGTGTCAACAGCGACATGAAGCTCAGCTCTCGGAGCTCTCTCCCTCTGTCTCCCGCACCTATTATTTGTACTTTAATATGTACATATCAGACCACTTCTCATTAGGACTTACACCACACCACCCAGCTCCCTTTCCATACCATTTTCGCCTCCTCTCTAAAACGTACAAATATGGAATATACATGACTGTACTCCTCTCCCTCGCCTGGACTCATTTCATTCATCGCTTTTCACTCATTCATGTGTCATTACTGACTCATTCCAATTTTTGTACAGTCCCTCATTATTCTCAGTTTTTAATCAACCTTTACTTGAATAGATATCTTATACGATAGGGTTTGAATAGTATCAAGCTCAATTAGTATCTACTAATTTTTTGTCCTTTTTTAGAAGTTCATAGCTTATTTTTTTTCTTCACAGTGATTGTTTGAAACTATCGTAAAGCCTGTATTAGAAAGGCCCCAATACTGTCAAGTTTGAACTATTTTTTCTTGGCTCCTATGCCAGATATCAAAAGTCTGTCAACTAATAAAATGTTTTTGATTTTAAGGTGTTCGATAATCGGTTAGTTGAGATTGACTGAAAGTGCTGGAAAACACTTTAACTCTTCAACTTTGGTAGAAATTTGGAGGTCCTATAATCTGAATTTTCTTCTTAACCCATAATACACAATAAGGATCTGACTCACAGAGATAACACTATCCTGTGGTACATTGAATTTCTAATATCTTTTACAGGAATCAAGCTAACTGAGCTGAAACTTGACAGTGTGGGGGCCCTTTGATTACAGGTTTTACGGTAATAAAACCGTTTAGAATTCAAGAGCCATTGTCTTTGCTCTTTTAACTTTTAAGAGAAACCTGCACTATTTTTATTGAATATCGAAATAAACTCGATTGTTTCTTCTACTTTATATAAAAATTTTATACTTCAATTATGATTTGAAACGATATCGTATTCATAAGCTCGATTTCTCAATCTCCTTCAACACATCCCCCATTTTTTCTACGGTGATACCCTTTTCCCATACTGTTAAAATGTATCATATCAATTGAATTGAAGTAGAAATCGAAAGTTTTGTGCAAATATTTGGTTCATCATCAAATCGGACCGCTTTTTTTTCTATCTCTTACTGGTAGCAAACTGCAAAGTTTTTGGCGTGGGGGGATTCTCTGAAACACAAGAAAAGGAGAAGCAGAGAGTCGAAATGACTAACTTTTTCGGTAAATATAATCGTCCGGGTTCGCGAGACGCTTTTTTTTTCATTACAGTTGGGCTAACAAACCACTCGAAATAAAGGAAATGAGAAGAGAGCAGTAAATGAGGAATCGAGAAAGAAAAAGAGAGATGATCGAGAAAAGTTTGTGTTTTCACTGTCACCTCTCTTTCCCGACACTTTTATTACATGAGCAATCTAGTTGCAGAAAATTCTGTAAGCTAAATCTTTCTTATATATAAAACGCTAGGGGCGCCTGTCTGTCCTCTTGAGGATCTGTGGACTTTTGAAAAGCTCGAAAAATAAAAATAGATTTACGTGGCCCTTTTAGAAAAAATGAGAAGTGATGTGATGAACCAGTGAAGAAGCAGATTGAATCGCGCCGAAGGCGCACCAGCTTGCTGGTATAAAAATAAAAAAGAGAGAGTGAGAGAAACTAAATCTACTTACCGTATCTTCTCTGATAGTAGGTCACCATCTTCTCTAATTCAAAACGTAAATGTTGAGCTCAATTATCTCGATTCCTGTGAAAACTATCAAAATTTTGTCAACTGATAACTTATTTATCATAAAATCACCAATTTTTCATCAGTTAACTAAATTTTTAAATCTTTCACAGGAATCGAGTTAACTGGCCTCAAAGTTGATGATTTAGGTGTGCTTCATCCCTATGATGTTGGTCAAGCCATAGTTGGAACTTGAACCCAACTATGGTACGTATAGTCCTCGTTATGTTGTTTCGAATTAGATACCTGGTTCTTGAACATGTTTCCAACTTTTGAAAGATTCAGAAATTTTGAGGTCTTTGGATTTCTCTCAGCATCTATTTATATGTTGGCGCTAGTTTTCAGAACTACAGATTTTTAAAAACTGAATCCTTTTGACCTAAATATCAGAGTGTAGCTTCACCCATTCTTGTGCTCTGAAACTCAAACCACAATTCCAAAGTTCCAACTTCGCTGACCCCTATCAGCTTTGCTCTCTCTTTCTCATTTGTCAATTTGTACAGTTCTGACTCTATATTTTGCCTTCTGATCACTGATCGTTTCCTTCTCTAATTCCACGTGATCTTGCACACCTCATTCCCGTCCATTTGTCCCATCAGCACCATCACTTGACAAATAGAAATTGAGCTCGAACGCTGATTATAGCTCTTTTTTCTCTCTTTTCTCTTTGCACCCGCCCCAAAACACACTGAAGCCACGCCCCTTTCCCCTTCCTGCCGAGTTTCGAATGGCAACCAAAAAATCCACTTGGCTGACCTTTTTTCCTGATGCTTCTTCCTCCTCTTCTTCTTCTTCCCCAGATTGCGCCAAGTGCCCTTGTCCATTCATCCTGAGAATCCAGATTTAACCCGAAGAAATGTGCATATCCCTCCCATTTCTCACTCGGACGCCAACTCATCTTTGCCTCTACAAAATTTGCATGCCTATCCATTTCGTGCATGCCGTCCATCCTGCTCCGAGTTGTCCTTTCGTCCATGTTATGCCCCCGCAAAGTGATTCTTCTGCTCCTGTTGCTCCCGACGGGGATGGCCACAACCCAACGGATTCTTGCCCCATTTTTTGTTTGTTTTTCGCTGTGATGGTGGTGATGGCTCAAGACAAATTGTGTCCTCCCGTATGGGAAAGAAAAAGCTCTAAAGTTTGGGGAAGAGAAAGGCATCTTTAGGAGAGGAGGAGGCACTCATCATCCACACTTTTTTTTTCACAAAAGAGATTTTTCGATTTTTTTGAAAATATGTTCCAATCGTTCTTTGAAAGTTATCGTAAAACCAGTAAAAGAAGGGGCCCATTGTCAAGTTTGAGCTCAGCTATCTCGATTCCTGTAAAAGATATGAAAGTTTTGTCAACTGTCAATACACTTCTGATATCATGACAAACATTTTATCAGTTAGTCACTTTGGATATCTCTTACTGGGACCGAGATAAATTGGCTCAAAGTTGACGGTGCCATTCTATCAGAGTGTTTGCTGTACCTGCTTGGAGTTTTTTATTTTTGATGAGTCTAGAATCTTTTGATATCAGCCGCATAGATTAGATTAGCCTTTAAACATTTTAGTGTTCCTAAGATTGTTCAGTTTTTAATTGTGAACCGAATTTTCGGCACCTGAACCGACTTTCTCTATAGAGGAAGTAACTTCGATCATACTTGTAAAAAGGGACATGTGGAACTTTCGCGGGCCCTGCAATATTTTGTTTATAATCAATATTTTTGAACCGCATAAATTGGAAATAATAGAACTCGATGAGTACTACAAAATGATAATATTTGGAAAACTGTACCTTGTCTATGAACAAAGTTACAAGTGACGTTTTTCATAGACAAGATACATCCTCAATAGTATTATTTTGTAGTACTCATTGAGTTCTATCAAAAAAATTTAGTTTGTCTAAAAATATTTGTTCTGAAAGGAACTATGGCTGGGCTAGCGCAGACACGCCAGTGCCCCGTTTGCAAGTATGACTTTCAGTAATACATCCTCTAATTTATATATTTTCTCTTACTTTTTTCCATTTTTTTGTTTTTTAGTCTGCTCTACTCTTTTCCATTTTTTTTTCACAACTTCCGGCGTCATCTGAAACCTTCTGAAATCCTGGTCGATTATTCTCCACCATCTCCTCATTTTTGGCACCAAACACAACTCTCATGCAGATATATTTTCATCATATCGGATTACTTTCTCTGCTTATTCTTCTCCTTATACCACTTATGACCACGCCTTCTTCTTCTCCATTTTTTTCCACTTCTTCTCGATTTCATTCCAGTGACGTGTAACTGGAATCCTAGATCTCTTCCTCCATTTTTTCTGCAGTTTGATTTCGGATTTCACTCCACATTCCATTTTTTCTTTCTCGTTCATTCACTTTCAGTTTTCTATTTACTCACCTGCAACATATCTTTTGGCAGTATTTATCTTCTCGTTTCAGATCTCGTTCGCCCATTTCAAACGGCCCCAGCCAATGGGTTTCAAACTTGTCGCTCTCAGCAGTTGGCTGCTGACTGTCAGGTAGTTCGAATTCTTTTTCCAGACCCTGAACTCAATTTTTCGAAATTCCAGCACTCTATCAATTGAGCACAATGCAGTCGGTGGGGGATGTATAGATCTTCTCTGCCCAGACACTGCCTCCTTGCACGGACTTCGAAACCTTGTCAACGAAGATACGCTGAAAACCGATGCCTGTACAGATTGCAAACAATGCACAGAGAATGGATACAGTGTGTGTTTGAGGCCGAAGGATTCCAGAGCGTCTCGTACTTCTGGAGGATGTTCGTGTTCTCATACTCTTGCTGCTAATTGCCATACTGATCTTACTCAAACCCAACATCCAGCCAATCTTTCCATGAAGTCCTACTCCGCATGTTACGCTGATGGTAAGCTCATAGTGTTTTGTATTTAGAAAATTTGGTTGCTATTTTAATCCGCATTGATTTGAAACGCGATACCGTTATACCCAGTAGTTTTACGAGATACTGTAAATGCTCTAATAGAAGGCCACCCAAACTGTCAACTTTGAGTTTAATTATCTCGGTTTCTGTGGAAGATATCAAAAAGTAGTCAACTAATAAAATGTTTTTCATAATATCACAAATATATTATCAGTTGACCACATTTTGATATCTTTTATGGTAACCGAGATAATCGAGTTCAAATTAGGGTGGGCTTCTATGAGGTCATTTACGGGGTTATTCGATATCGGTAGAAAATAAGCTTGATAGTAACTTTGCAGCTCTCCAACGTCCTCCACAACCACTTGCCGTCAATGAGAACTCTTCTGTCGTTGTGACCATTGAACCATTCTGGTTGGAACCATATTGGAGACATCTCAAGATTGAAAATGTTACTCTTCACTACAAATTCCAAGTGAAGGTATTAGCCTTTATTCGTTTGTATCGAAAACCATGAAACATTTCAGGCCCCAGAACATTGCGAACATGAGGTTGAATCCACTGAAGACGGAGTTCACACTTGTGTTGCTTCCGTTCTTGTTGATTTATCTGAAAGTAAGGAAGATCAAGAACCAAAAGGTGCTAAGGATGAGGAGGATGATTACGATCACAGTGATGTAAGTGACTAGAAGATTTTGAAAAGTTAATCAATTTTTAATTACAGAACTATGATCAGTATGATGATGACTTGCCACCAGAGGTTCAATTTGATAGAGATGTTTTCGCAGGAGCCAAAGAACTTGAGTCATACTACACCGCCACCATCCGTCGTACTCGTCAAATCAAGGCATCCGCATCTAAAAATCAACAAATTTATGATGGAGAAACTTTAATCGAGTCAGAACATTTGAAATTCGATCTGAAACCAGAACTTTATGGAAATGGAGAAGCTGAGATTGTTGACGAACCATCGCATGACTCAGTTCCAGACGCTACGGAAGAATCTGCAACTGTTGTTCAGGAAGATAAGGATGAAGGAGATGTCAGCAATGAAACCGGAGGAACCAACTTCTTTGAAGAAGAAGAAAAGAAGGAAGAGGAGACAAAGAAGAAAGACGGAAGTGAGGAAGAGGATGGAGTTCTGAAGGTTAACCTGGAAGATGTTGAACCAACCAAATTGAAGTCTCAAGAAGATGGAAAGAAAAAGAAAGAAGAGGACGGAGATGATGAGGAGAAAGAAGAAGATGAAGAAGTTGAATCGACGACTGATAAGGATGACAAAAACAGTGGTGAAGCTGAAAAGAATGATGAAGGAGAGGAAGAGAAGAAGGATGAGCAGAAGGAAGAAGATGAAGAAGAAAAGAAGGATGACGAGGAAGAGACAACGGAAGAAGGAACGACTGTCGCTGGAGAAGATTCGGGAGAGTCTAACGAGGATGATTCTGAAGAGTCGACAACTGTGGAGCTCATTGAAGGAGAGACTGATCCATCCGAACAAAACTTCTGGCAACGATTCGTCAACAGTGAGGATTTCCCAAGATGCCGTAACATTTTTATCGTTTGTGTCATTGGTTTCATCATTTTCTGTGCCGTCGCTTTGGGATGTTTGAAATGCTGCTGCAAGGTAATTTTGTTTTCAGAATATGCTACAGGGATGTTCGGAACGAAATTCAGAGATCCGAAAATTTCAAGCATTTTCGAAGTAATATCCTTACCAAAAAAGTTTTTCGAAATTCGCCAACTTCAAAAACCTGAATAATCCAAATTTACGAAATTTTGAAATTCCTAATTTTCGACATCCCAAAAATTCCGAAAAGGCCATTCCGAACGTCCCTGACATGCTCTCCGGCTTCATCACAGCGGGACAACAGTCCTAGAACTTTAACGAAAGAGAATAAAACTTCTATGACAATAGTATTTTAACCCGATTGTCATAATAATCCAATTTCAGAGTAAGGAATCAAAAACATCAAACGGATATCATTATACATCCGCTAATCAACCACCAACAGAGCTGGTGAGTCGTGAGAAAGAACATCTTCGGCAATAGGATGTCGTCTGCAATCACATTCAATCCCCCACTTCATCTCGTTCCGCCCACACTCTGCTCTTTGTTTTCTCTCTTTTCTCTCTCTCTCTCTCTTAATGCTCTAATACGGTTATTTTTCCTTGTTTTCCTGCATCAATTAACCTGCTGAAAGTGCCAATCCCCATTGACATGACCCCAATTTCTTCCACTCTTCCAGATTTCCCATTTTCCCACTCCCCATCCCCATTTTTTTCGGTGACTGTGTGTGTGTGTCTGTCTGTTCTTATTTTTCTGTATAAATATATCTCAATTATATTTTGTAAAGAAGTTTTTCTATTCAATAAAATCTAAATAAATTCATTCAAATTCATTTGGCAGTCATCACATTACGCACGTGTCACCGAAAAAAATGCCACAAAAACTTGCTTGAGAAAATGATTCTGAAAATCTGAAAAAAAGAGAATGACCCCCTTCCAGAAAACTGTATCTCGTGCTCCATCGGGAGCTGTACCCGAAGATGAGCAACGTCTTCTGGCCGAAGGAGAGGCACTAGAAAACTTTAAAACGGTTGTCAAAAGTGGAACACCAATTCAACCGAACAAAGTGGAACTCGGAATTTCTGTGGAATGGGAAAGTTTGGTCCAATCTACAGAGCGATGTTTAATTCTTACAATGGATCTGTTCATGATGTTAATGTTTACTTATTGAAGAGTGAGATTTAAAAAAATAGGGACGCGGAGGAGTTTTTGAGAATTTCAGATGTATCTCGTCTTCCGGATGAGCAATTAGTCAAGTTAACTTCTCTTCTGAAATCAAATATAGCTGCTGGAGCACACCAGAATGTAGTTTCTCTTTGTGGTCTATCTACAGTTGGATCAGGTACGGAAGGTCCAGTATCGAAAGGGTACAACTAGTTTTGAGAGTACCCTGGTTCCAAGGGTACATGGGTTTTTGTGGTACATGTTCACAGACTTTGTCGTTTTTAGCTTATAATTATAGGCTTAAGCATAAACCCATACATCCCATGTACCCTTTAAATCTAATCCGAAGAACTCGATGTATCCTTTTTCGATCACCCTGAGCCGTACGGAAGCTCAGAAATTTAACACATCAGACCTATATTTTAGATGTAATGTTAATGTGGGAACCACTCCATCAATCTGTTCTTCGTGGAGTTTTACGAGAAAGTCGTTGTGCAAGATTCGGAACAGAGCCATTCAACATGGCAAGCTTCCTTTCTTCTGAAAGATTGGCTGCAATTGCGATTGGGTGTTGTAACGGAGTAGAGCATCTTCTCAAGAAAAACGTTTTCCCAACTCATTTATCAACTTCAAATGTTTTACTTGCTGAAAGAGGTATTGTCAAGATTGGAGGATTCGGGCTCGCAGAGCATCATGCACTTGATATGACAACGGAAAGTGTAAGTGGATAGATATATGTCCTTTTTTGAAAGATATAGTCTTTCAGGCGCCAACAAAACTCCGCTGGATGCCTCCAGAATACTTCAAAAAGGATCAAAAATTGATTTATAATGAACAGACGATGATATGGCCACTCGGAGTAACTCTCTGGGAGATATTCTCTTTAGGAGGAACACCATTCACATCTCTTCGCCAGGCACAGACATTTATCGATGCAATGAGAGATGGATCAGCTCAATTGGAAACGATTTCTTATTGTGGAGAAGCTGTGACACAGCTACTTTCCACATGCACTTCTCATATACCGGAGGCTCGAGGCGACATCCGAACGATTATAAAACGACTGGAATGTATTTCTGCCGATGCGAAAGTATGATTTTTTGATAAGTCTTATATCAGACTATCCAAATATTTTTCAGACCCAAATAAACCTCTGCTATCGGGAAGACTTCCCATACTTGCCAATCATAACTCCTTTGGAACAACAAGACGAATAATTATATTCCTTTCTCCCCGGTTGAATAGTATTTTTAAAAGTCTCCAAACGTTGTAAAACCTGTGATAAAAGGGCCTTCACACTGTCAAGTTTGAGCTTATTTATCTCGGTTTCTGTGAAAGATATCAAAAATGTGTCAACTGATAAAAATTCTTGTAATATTATGATAAGCAATTTGTCACTTGACAGAAATTTAATGTCTTTTACAGGAACCGATATAAACTGGTTCAAAGTTAGGGGGTCCTTCAATCACAGGTTTTACGATGCTTCAGTCCCTCCCGCCCCACTCTTATTTTAAGAATCATCTATTTCATTATTTTTTGTTATAATTGTTGATTTTCCCGAGAATAAATAAGCATGTTTGTTGCGTAAGGTAGTCCTTCATCATCGCTTGTCTATCCGATTCCTGTCATTGCCACGTAAATCGGCTTGACGGTTATCTCCCAATAAGGCATGCCAAGATGCGAGAAGCTAGATAACCGAAAACTTGCAAAACACTTTTTTGCACCTCGATGCATATTGCGCAAGATATCTAGAAATAGGATTCGTGGAAAACGTCTAGTGGAATGTAACAATTCACCCAAGTTTGTGACATCTTCGGAATGAATTCTGAAGAAAGTCTTCTGAAAAAGTATTCATAAAATTCTCATCTGAAAGTTCTATTCTTTAAATTCTTTGACCGAATACAATTAACAACAACTTCGACCAATTCTACATCTTGATGGAAATAAAACATGGTTATGTAAGAAAATGTGTCAATACAAAAACAACTGGTTTGTGGAAACTGTATATACTTTAGTTTTAAGTATCGGAGGGTGAATAATTTTGCCATCGAAGAAAAGAAAATTATTAGGAGCCTAAGGTTGTGGAGAGCTTCATTGTCAACTTCAGAGTTAGTTTGTGCTAGACTACTGTCTGAAAATGTTTGAAAATACTGTAAAATCTGTATTAGAAGGGCTCCTTTAATAGAGGAGCATATGTAATTGAATGATCCCCTTTGAATGTGATATTTTAAATTAAACAATTCTATATGTTTTCAGTGAAAAATACTCCGGAAATTCCGAAATTTCACAGATCTTTGTTGAAACACTCTTTTTTGCTTAAAAACTTGATCAATTTTGGTGAAATTGATAGATTTTCCAAAATTTTTGAACAAGTATTCTCGGATTTTTCTATAAAAATTTTCTGGGAAAATGACTGGAAAAATGAAAAGGGACCTCTATTTGAAAGGCTCTTTAATAGAAGGATCCTCCAGAAGTAACTTGTGACAAAAAAAGGTCCGGTTCTTTTAATACACGTTTTGCGGTAGTGTACTTCTGTAGTTTCTCAAAGTTAACTACTCTGTCCAACAACGGAAACAAAATTCTCACTATTAGATTAACAAAAATTTTGAAATATGTTGCTCTAATTGGACGAATTTAGTTCAACGCACTCACATCTCCTCCCGTAGACTATTGTTGCCAAAACGGAAACAAATATCAGCGTCGTTCTGATCTTCTGATCCCTGTGATGCTCTTCCGACCTGGTTAGTTCCTCAGAAGAACTATTCTCTATCCTGAAATCACTCACCTGCCTTCCTCTTCCCCTATTATCCTTTTTTCTCTCTTCCACTAATCCCGATACCATCAACGGAATCTCAAAAAACCGCGAGGATTTGGGAAAAAAAGTTGTCCAAATATTGCGTCGTCGTATTCGTCTTCTCACCCATCGTCATCTCCTTTTCAATCCTCTCCGCGTCGCTTCCGCGCCTCTTCATGTCCGTTGCCCTATCGGACAAACCGATCAGACTGTCAGAGGAGGAGTCGGAGGAGGACTAACCAGAACCCTCTCATCCTCCCCCCGTTTTGATCGTTCCCTCTATTTTCAAGCTTCAATGCCAATATTACACCTGTTTTCTCTTCTTTTCTCAAACTTTCGTGATTTTTGTAACTGTTCCAATGTTCTTTTAATCTTCCAGAACTTTCTTCTTCTTTCTCAACTCTCAATTATTCTTTCGATTTTCTTCGAGTCATGAGTTTATGATTCAATGATGATATGTGTTCATACTCAAAAGAAATGGAAAGAACGCTTGAAGGTAACACTTTCTCTTTTTTTCCGAAAATCAGAACGTTTCGAAGTAAACAAAATCTAAAAGAGACTGATTCAAATCGGATCGAATCCGAAATTTAATTTATGACGAATCCGAATACCCCTTTCCTAACTTTCGACACGGTTTGCATTCATTCATTCCTTTCAAAACAGAACCGAATTCTCTTGAAATGAAAATCGGAAAATTCTCATTCTCTAATGAATCAGAAGAGGATCAAAAGGATCCACCGAGTCTCATCTCTTCTACAACCACTCCCAATATATTCCAGAAAAATATCCGGAACTTGCGATCTGTTGGCTTTTGTGCCGATGAATACCGCTTCAGTTTCATCATCGTTTTTGCCATTTTCTTCTTTGGCGCTTATTTTTTGTATCAAGTTCAATATAAAACTGGAATCGATATAATTCCACTGTTCCCGATTGATGATAGCGGATTTGAGTGAGTTTTTATTTTAATTTTGTTTTGTGGGTGGGTGATGTTTTCACAAAATTCTTCACTAGTCTGAAAAACTTTGTAGATTTTTTTGTTCTGAATGGGGATTGAAAAAGTTGTAGCTCTCAAAATTCTTTTAACTTCTAAAAATCTTTGTAGTTAAATTTTTTCAAAATCAGCATTTAACTTTTTTAAAGAGGTTTTTTCGGATGTCGTGTAAATGAGCTCGAATGGCAGTAATTTTTAGGTGATCCAGATAAAAATAAGTGTTTATCATTATGTTACATTCTGGTGGAAACATAACATTTCTTGACTGACTTCCAATCAAAACGTTCAAGTCGATTTTCCAAAAGGTTCCGATGGTCCGTCAACAGTCCGTCGGCGGCCAGTCGGTTCTCATTCGGCTTCTAACTAGAAATCATTCGTCAGTTTAGGCCTTCTATGTTATTCAGCAGTTTTTTGACAGTGCTTTTTACCTTTGTCTGAAACATGGACAAATTTTTTCGTTATCAAAAGTAATCAAAAGTTTTAGACTGTAATCGTATCAGTCCTAGTTCCAGATTTGGGAGATCAGTTGCCTGAAACAAAAATAAAACTTTTCTGATGTCCCATGAATATTCTTATTTTCAGTAAATACAATGAGCATCTCCTTGGATCTGTAAAAGTGTCGGAGAGTGCCAAAAATCAACCGAAAAGTGGATCTCTTCTGTGCTGGGCAATGACAACATCCGTATATCACAAGACACGGGTGATAATGCCTTCCTCTCAAGGACATCTTCTGAATTCCTGCATTTTTAGGTACCTGCCATTACGGAAACATGGCTTCGAAGATGTGATGCTGGCCATTTGTTCACAAATTCCGACAGGTTCCTAAATGCATCCACTCCATACCACACAGTGTTCGATGGATTGCCTGAGAGCTATTATAAATTATTTTGGAAAACCCGACTGGCTCTTCTCTACATTTACAAACATGTTTCAAAGGATTTCGACTGGTTAGTTCATTTGATCTACTTAAATTCTCATAAAGATTCAAATCTCTCAGGTACTTCAAAGGGGATGATGACACCTATTTGATTGTCGAAAATCTTCAGAGATATCTGGCGACATTGGATCCAAATAAACCTTATTTTATCGGATATCGGTTGAGTAGACGGACGGTATGTATGCCCCTTTTTGTTACTTCCTGTCCTTTTTTTAATAGTTCCTCTCCGATTCTCAATCTGAGCACTCAATCTTGATGACTGAGACGACCCCAATGAGAAATAAATGAGGGGGAAATGTCGGAAGCATTTTGAGTGTTTTTTTGTTTCAAAAAATGATGTTTTTAGGAAACAGGATACAATGCCGGAGGAAGTGGCTATGTAATGAGTCGAGAGGCAATGCGGATATTTGCGGAGAAACTATTTAATGACAAGGAAAAGTGCCCTTACCATGAATGGGAGGACTATGCAATTGCGCAGTAAGATCAGATTAAGAATAAAATAAAAACAAATGTTTCGATTTTTGTAGATGTCTCGCATCAGTGGGCATTGTTCCATTGGACAGTCGCGATGAGAAAGGACGCCAAAGATTTCTTCCTTGGCGACCTGAACAGCATTTCTATGCGGATCTTACCCGTTCTTTTCAAATGGATCCCATCCAAATTTGGGTAACTAATTTTTATTTGTTTTTTCTTAAAACCAGAATTTCCGCCCCCTTTCAGGGACCTGCAATCTATCACGAAAATTTGATAAGTATGCATCATTTGTATCCGGATGAAATACGACTCATCGATGGATTACTGTACTCCATTGCACGTGGAATTTGGAGACAAGGTGATCTAGAAGACATTCGAAACGAGACAACGACAGTGTCGACGTCGATGGATGATACTCTTCCTCCTCCAACTATTTAGTTCCTTTTTTAAAAATGTGTTTTTCCCATGTTCTCCCCTCTCCGTTCTCAAATTTCTAGTCATTTTCTTTCCAGTTTTGTTTTTTTGATCAAGTGAATGAAACATGTACTTTATTTATATTCAGAGCCTATGTTCTAAAGATTTTTTTTCTGGAAATCTGAAAATTTGAAAATTCGGAAATTCAGAAATTCGAATAATCTGGAATTCAAAATTAAAAAGTTCTCAATTTCGAGAATTCGGAGAGTCAGAAATTAGGAATACATTGGCATCTATCCTATAGGAAAGTTAAACATTTGAAAGTTTAGAAATTCCAAATTCGAAAATTCAGAATAACTACATTCGGAGACAAAAAATTTTTTGAAAAAATAGAGGGTTTAAAAGTTCCTAAATTTTGAAACTCGGATGGAAACTCAACAATTACAGATTTTTCGTATTCGTGAAAATTTTCTGGAATCCAGAATTTCAATATTTTTCAATTTTATACATTTTGAATTTCTGAACATTCTAAATATCATTATTATCTTCTTTATATATAAAACGCTAGAGGCGTCTGTCCATCCCGTTGTCAGTCTGTCAACTTTTGAAAAACTTGAAAAATAAATATGTGTTTACGTGACTCTTTTAGAAAAAGTGAAGAGCGAAGCTACGAACCAGTAATCAACTAAATAGATTAAATCGCGCCGAACGTGCACCAGCTTGCTGGTAATAAATAAATGAAGTTGCATCTCTTTATCTCTATTTATCTGTTTGTTTGTCCGCACATTTTTAAATTTTCGAAAATTAAATAAAATTCCACGTGACTTACAAAAAAGAGTGAGGAGCGGAGCGACGAACAGTAAAATAAACCAGATGTTTACGCCCTCCGGGGCTAAACCTCCTGGGCTCCGCTTACAGTGCGTGTAATCTAATAGAAAAGTTTTTCCACTTCGGCTACGTGAATTGGATTACCTTTGACCTCTGGCAGAGCACTATAAAGGTAGAGGAAAATGAAAACAACCAATCAGTTTTTATCTTCTCTGGGCTCCAGAGAAGAGAGCCGGAAAAGGGATCCCGGGTGCGGGATCCAGAATCCGGGATCCGGAATCCGGACCCAGAAATCCGGAATATAGGAATCCGGAATCCGGAATCCGAAATTCGGAAACCCGGGTTCGGAAACCCGGGTCCGGAGCCCTGGGTCCGGAATTCGGGATTCGGAATTCCGGAACCCGGACTCAGGAATCCGGAATCCGGACACAGGAATCCCGACCCAGGAACCCAAAATCCCGAATCCCGAATCTCGAATCCCGAATCCGGAATATGGACATAGGAATCCGGAATGCAGGAATTCGGGATCCGGAATCCTGAATCCAGAACCCGGATTCCGGAATCCGTGATCCTGAATCCGGGATTTCGGAGCCCAGGTCCGGAATCCTGGGTTCAAAATCCGGGATCCGGAATTCCGGAATCAAGACTTAGGAATCCGGCATCCGGACACTGAAATCCGGACCCAGGAATCCGGAATCCGCAATCCCGCTGAATCCCAAATCCCGACTGATTCTTCCTTCCACTTTCCACTTCCTTTATATGTAGTAATCTTATCTCCCAGTGATCATCTTGGGTCGTGGGTTTCTAAACCAATTCACGTAATTCTTTTCGTCTAGAATTTAATTTTTAAAATTTTTTTTTCGGCACTTTTAAATGACACTTCAATTTTAACTTTCAAAATCTGTGAAACTCTTTAAAAATATGACCCCTTTGAACCTAATTATCTCGTTTCCTGTTTGAAATATCAAGAAACATTCAACTAAAGAAATGTGTCTGATAACCGCTTTCGCTTGTACTTTTTTTAAAAATATCTCTTACAGGAATCGAGATATATTTGGTCAAAGTCGCAAAATGATGGATACCGTTTTTTGTCGAGTTACTGCACTTCAGGGATGAACCTCCTGTGCTCCGCTCACAGCACCCGTAATTTCCAGTGAAAATAAGATTTTTGTACCAAATCGTTATCCAAAACTTTCTGGTGGCACAAAAGAAAACTAAAAGCTTCAAATCTCAATCCAATCTTTCTCTCGACTTGAAAAAAATGAAACTGGGAAACTCTTTGCTAGGATTTTATTCGAACCGATTGAAAAAAATCCATGCATTTTTATTCTCTTTTCTGAACTCTATACAAAAAACAAAAAAAAGTTGCAACCTATCGGACTCGAACCTGCGTCGCGCGGACAAAAACGATGTGCGTTAACCGCTACACCACCGATCATCACAGCGGAGGTTATAGAAATTGCTTACACGCGTGTGGGTTTTCCTCGCCCTCTCCTCTTTCGCCCGCCCGGGGCTGGGCGAGCAATCGGCTTTCGTGGGATACGAAATGCAAAACATACGCATTTCGCGAAAAAAGTGGGCGGAGCCGCTGAATGATAAAAACTGATTGGTTGTTTTCATTTTCCTCTACCTTTATAGTGCTCTGCCAGAGGTCAAGGCGGAGCCTCGGCACACACAAAGTATAGTGGACGGCGGAACCCGGGAAGTGTCGGCCGCTGCGAAGAATGACTTCCCGGCGGCGCGTAGTTGAAAAATAAATCAAATTTCAAATTCCCGCCAGTTTCGTGTCCAGACCCTTGGGCGAAATTGTGTGCGCCTTTAATATCGTTTTGCATAACAAGAGCGGAAAATTTGCAAAACGTGAAGGTTTTTCTCCCGTCCTCGCCCACCCCTGCGCCCGCCTCCCTCGCCCTCCTTGCCCTTCGCCCTTTACTGTGGTGAAACCAAGGTACGTCTCCAGAAGACTTCAAAATCAAAATTTCGAAAAATGAAAATCTTGGGCCTTCAATTAGACACATTTCTGATCTATCTGTCAAGGTTTCAGCTCAATCGGTTAACTTTGAGTGGGCAAAACGGCGCGCGACATACATACCAACATACGGAATTTGGTGAATGTTATTAGTAATTCTAATGGAAGGTTAAATCGCGCCGAAGGCGCACCAGCCAGCTATTTGAAGCGCCGGGGCGCGGCAAACAGGCTGGTTATATTAAAGAAACATGAATACACTTGTAGCTTTATTTTTTTTTATAATATACATAATCAAGACCACTTTTCAGCCGGACGATCCTTCCACAAATCATTATATTGACGCTCGTTGTTAACTGAAAATTTACAAATAATAATTATAAATCTCTTTCAAAAGATTAGCTAATCTTTTCAAACCCACTCATTGCATTACTGTGGTGAAACCGAGACTTGCTCCCCAAGTTCCCAAAAATCTTCATTAGACAACGACTTTTTTGACTTCTTTGCCGAAGATCCCTCATCTGCGAAACTGACATGTTTTGAGTTGGCACTGGAGGATCTTGGACGAAGAGACTGAAGACGTTTACGAGGATTGTTCACACCTGAAACTCGTTTAAAAATTTCTATGTTTTTTGATTCGTTCCCCCACCTGGAGTGTGTTTTTTCATTGGGGTTGGTGGTGGCACATTGAGCATATCGAGAAGATCTTTGTCGGCATTCATCAGAGAGACAGCAACAAATGGGATGCCGTCTACAGTTAACGAAAAAGCCTCGAATTCCGGTTCTACAGAGTATTTGGAGATGAATCCACGAACTTAAAAATGAGCTAAACGTTTCAGTTTTTGTCTTAAAAATAAAGAACCTTCATCTTTAACTGGCTGTTTGATCATCGAAATTTGTCCAATCGGGCGCTCAGTTGCTTTCTTTGGAGACTTTTTGATTTTTTTCGAAAATGAGCGTTTCTTCTTTTTGCTACTAACATCAGAAGAAGTTTTTGAACAACATGACAAGTCACTGTGAGATTCAGAAGAAGGAGATCGACGTCTTCTTGGTGTTTTGATACTTTTCAGTGGAGAAGACAAAGAATCGAAGGAACTGTTCCGGTCCGTGGAAATAGTTGATGAAGTTGCGAAGGGTGACGACGATGATCCAGATCCACTATTTAAAAAAGATGAGCCAGTGGGAATTGTTGATGATCCATCGGTGACATCTTGTTGGTTATTTTTCGAGTTAGGCGTAGCCATTGAGTGTTTCTAGTCGACTGAATCGAAAACTTTTTGTTTTTTTTTGTAAACTTCAGAAATTGATTAAATGTGTGGATGTCTTGAAAAACCAGCAGGCAAGAGTGCGCCACGCGATTTTCCACCCATCGTAATGACAGGATCCATTGACTAAAAATGTTTGAGTTCTGGGTCAGATTTTAGATTATCAGTCATGGTTTCTACTGTTTCCACACCACATTACGTGGATCATATAACCACGAAAAACAACAACCATCATTGAAATTACCAACCTATATTACTCCTCTGAAAATATGAAAGTTCTGCTCTTTTTTCTTTCAATACATCTATGTTTCAAATCTTTGGTATCTCATATTTATGTTTTTTTTTGTAAATATAGACCCATTATTTTCATATTTCCTTCTCATCATCAAGCAATTTGCGATGGGTACCTCCAAGTGCACATCAGTGGAAAAACAGTGATATTCCACAGAATATAAAACAGTATTGGGAGAATCGATGGGCAAAAGCATCTTTTCTGAAAGGCTATAGTGATGAAAATAGTCTCAAAGTCTGTAGTCAAAACTTGTGTTTCCATATGAAGTTTCAGATGTTTTCAGATAATCCCTGTCTATTTTTGGCCTGGAGAGCGTATGGATTTACCATGCAGAATGTGTCAAATGTCGTATTTAACCAATGGTCGAATGAAACGATGGGGATATTCTGAGCATATTGATGAGTTTCTTCTGAATCCAACCCAATTCGTTCGCATTCGAGAGTTGTGGCAAGATGTTGAAAATACAAAGTCATTTAATGATAACAAGGAAGATCCCATGGATCCAGATGACGTCATTTGGTATCCACACAAGTTTATCTCGAAGAAATATGTCTCTGAATTTCGCACGGAAAATTATGAGAAAGAAAGATACGAAGTTCGACATAAAGAGCATCCAAGGTTTTGGCAGGATGATGGAAAATTGACAATATTTGGAGTAAAACTGAAATGTTCCAAAATAGGTTTTAATAAATGTTTCCAGGCAGATGTTCGTTCTCAAGGTGTATACTTCTGTTATGATGAATCTTCTAAAAAGGAGACTATCATATTTTATGTTCTTATGACAATGTTACCACCAGTAAGATTCACAACAGAATATCCACTAGATTACAGTAAGTTACCGTAAGACCCGTAATAGAAGTGCCCACTTACTTTTTACTTTGAGGCTATTTCTCTCGGTTTCTGTGAAATATATGAAAAAGTTGTCAACGGATAAATTAATTATCATAATACCATCAACATTTTGTTAGTGGACAAATTTGCGATGTCTTTCACAGGAATCGAGATAATTGAGCTCGAAGTTATCGGTTTGGTTGGGGTTATATTCGAGGAAATACGGTATGAGTCAAATGTACTACCGTCTGAGCGTCTACATTAGGATAAAATGACCTAGAAAATCTCAGGAATTGTCAGGTCTTTTACTATTGTCGGAATTATAAAACTGTCCCCTCGGTGTATGCAGACAATAATTTTCAGCTGACCATTGTGGCCAAAAGAAAGGAAAAGACTCCAAACTGATTTTTCCATCTCACAACTGGAAGTTTCATTTTCTTCCAATGGGTGATTTCAATCCAGCACCGACGTGTCAATTGGATGAGACAGACTTGGAAACCTGTAAAAACAATTATCCATATCTGGACAATACGAAATGGCCTAAAAACTTTGGAGACGACTGTTCGGTGGATAGATGCAGGTCGTATTTTCTACCATTTTTTGTTGCATGTTCCATTTTTCAGAGCACGTCTATTTTCTCCTGATAACAATATCGACCTATTCATCGAGTTAAGATGGGATTCATGGACTTCATGTCAGGGAGATCAACCGACGAAAAGAAGAGAAGGACATTGTTATTTGGTTCGGGAAGAAGGTTCCATCAATATTGAAACGATGAAGTCAGAACATAAAAAGTTGTACTCTTGGATCAAGAATCTGGAAACTGTATTCGATCGAAAACCTTTTGATGAAAGTGGAATACGGTTGCACAGGTTTCAATCCTTCTATTGCCTTGTTTTCATTCGATCTAAATTTCAGCTCTCTGCTTACTTCTGCCATATTCAATAAGCCAAAGTTGACAGGATGTTACAACAAGAAGGATGAAGAGGAAAAGTTGTACGAGTTGTATGATCAAGTTTGGAGGAAAGTTTTTCTTCCAACACTCGGTGTCCCGGAAGACGGAGTTGTGGTGCAATTGGGCAATCCATTCGAAGCATGCCTTCGCTACACTAGACTGGCTACAGAGCCTGATGATGACCCGAAAAGTGAACATTTGGTCGGCACTTATTCAACTCAAGTTGATTATTGTTAATTTTTGAATGAATAGACTCAAAATACGTTCATATGAATTATAACACTCCGATTTGGAGCATGGGAAGATGCATATTAAAAATGTGGGACGGGACGAAGAGGGGTATGACCGAAGAAGAAAATAAACGGGGACAGGAGGCACAAGAAGGGGGCGGGCGGTGGATGAGATTGAACCTAAAACTTCACACTACCCTATACTAATGATCAAGTCATAAAGCCTGTGAGAACTCGAGAAAGGAAAAAAATGAGTCAGAGTACAAGGGGATGCATGAAAAAGAAACAGAACAAGAAAGATAGATTTTTAATAAATTTAGGCCTTGAATCCTTCCAGTTTTGATTTTGGAACTCCGAACACTTTGCTCATCATTTCCTTCTGTTCTTGCATGTGCGTGTATTTGTTTCCGGTGGCTGGGGAAGAAGATGGAAGACGTCCGGCATACTTGGTGGCACGACCATCAATGGAGAGAAGAGAGTTGATTCTTGGTTGCACGAAAGACCAGGCTCCCATATTTTTGTGTTCCTGAAAATATGAAATCAAAATTACAAATTTTCATGGAATAACCCTACTTCTTGGGCCCAGATGATTTCAGCTCCTTGATATTTTCTGCACTCTTGTTGCACCAAATCGTATGGGAATGGGGACAGTTGTTCTACTCTAACCAAGGCGACATCATTTTCCTTTCCGACGTGTTTACGAGCAGCAACCATATCGTAATAGACCTTTCCGGTGCAGAAGACAAGTCTTTGCACATTTGGTGGGTTTTGTGATGGAGCTCCAGTTTCTGGGATGATTCGTTGGAAGTTTGATCCAGATTGGAAGTCTTCGACTGGTGACCGAGCCATTGGATGACGGAGAAGGGATTTTGGAGAGAAAACGACAGCTGGTTTACGGAATGGCATGGTTACTTGACGGCGGAGAAGATGGTAGATGTTGGCTGGTGTTGTGCAATTTGCAACGATCCAGTTGGTGTCGTGAAGTTGCTGAGCTTCGAAGGTGCCTCCGAAAGCGATTTTCTGAAATTATTGTATTCAATCTCGCTTTCAAAATACTTTGAAACTTACATCAAGGTCGATCTCATCGTCTTCATTGCACATCTGCAAGAATCGCTCTGGTCGGGCAGATGAATGTTCTGGTCCCATTCCTTCGTATCCGTGAGGCAACAACATAACCAATCCAGATTGACGAATCCATTTCGATTGTCCGGAAGACACGAACTGGTCAATAATACATTGGGCAGTGTTGGAGAAATCTCCGAACTGAGCTTCCCAGATGACCAACGAGTTGGGGTCGACCATCGAGTATCCCAGTTCGAAACCAAGAACGGCGTACTCCGAAAGTGATGAGTTGCAAACAGTGTATTCTCCTTGTGGATCAGCAAGATCGTTAAGTGGATTGTAGATCTAAAAAAGTAGTTGATTCAAAATACAAATACAATAGTCGACTCACCTTTTGATCAACTTTCTGATCGTGGAGAACATGATGACGGTGAGAGAAGGTTCCTCTTTCGACATCCTGTCCACTTAATCTGACGTGGATTCCTTCCTTGAGAAGTGAACCGAAAGCAAGAGCTTCTCCGCAAGCCCAATCGAGCTGAAATTACAGCGTAATAAAAAAATTAAAATGTATTGATCAAAACTAACAGAATTGTCCTTGAGCATTTGTTGTCTTCCTTTCAATGTTCTCTCCAATCCACGATGAAGATTGAATCCCTCTGGATAAGAACCGAATTTGCCGATGATGTGCTCAATGTTTTCTTGTTCGATGCCAGTAGATGGAAGTTTGAGTGGATCACGCTTCTTGAAGAAGTCATCCCATGGTGAATCGAGCCAATCTCTGTTTCTGACGTATGTGACTTTTTGTGCGTTTTCGTATGCATCCTCGAGAATTGCTCCGTACTTGGTGAGCTCTTCCTTCACATATTGTTCGTTGGCTACACCCTCGTTCAAAATCTTTTCTTGATATTTTTCCAAAGCAGTCTTGGTTTGCTTGATACGCTGGTACATGAGAGGTTGAGTGAACATTGGCTCGTCCAACTCGTTATGACCGTGACGTCTGTAGCATACAAGATCTACAATAACATCCTTCTTGAAAGTTTTTCTCCAGTCAGCAGCAACATTGCAGACGTGCATCACAGCTTCTGGATCATCGACGTTGACGTGGAAGATTGGGCAACCAACGACGCGTCCCACATCGGTACAATATGGAGATGAACGCGATGATCTTGGATCAGTGGTAAATCCGATTTGGTTGTTGACAACGATATGGATGGCACCGTGAGTGGTGTAACTTGGGAGGTCATCCAAATTGAAGGTTTCCAGAACGACTCCTTGTCCAGCGAATGCAGCATCTCCGTGAAGAAGAATAGCCATCGTACGATCGCACTTCTCGTCTCCAGCGTAGAAAGCTTCAGCACGCACTTTACCCATAACAACTGGATCGACAGCTTCCAAGTGGGATGGATTGGCAACGACGGCGATCTTGACGTTCTTCTGGGATTGTCTGTTCAAACGCTCAATGCATACTCCCAAGTGATACTTGACGTCTCCGGATCCTTCATCGGCGGGTTCGAGAGTCGAGAATTGAGAAAGAATGGTGGCCAGTGGTTGTCTGCAGACATTGGCGAGCACGTTGAGTCTTCCACGATGAGGCATACCAATGACGAATGAGTCGACACCAAGAGTCGAAGATGAGTCGATAACTTGTTTAATTGCTGGGATAAGAACTTCACATCCTTCGAGTCCAAAACGCTTCTCACTTGGCCATTTCTTGGCGAGGAACTCTTCGAATTTTGTGGAGCGGATGAGACGTTTGAATAGAACCTTCTTTTGATCATGAGAAAGCTCGGTTACTCGAGGAGCTTCGAAACGACGGCGGATCCAATCTTGTTGCTCCAAGTTGTTCAGATGCATGTATTCGACTCCAGTGCTAGTACAATAGATTTCCTTGAGTCTTTGCAAAATTTCTCTCAATGTCAAACTCTTTTTCTCACTGATGAATGTGGTTGGTGGGAGAAGAAATTCGCGATCCAAGTCACGCTCGCCGAGTCCATAGAATGAAAGTTCGAGTTCTGGTGGGATGGTGTCATCCAAATCGGCGCTGTTTATTCCGAGTGGGTCGAGATCGGCGATGTTGTGTCCACGGGTTTGGTAACTGCGAATCAGCAGCTGAATTTTCAAGTGATCCGAGATCGATTGAACGGATGCATTAGTATCGAGGCGAGTGGCCGGGGCAGCACTGGAAATTTTGATAGTGATTCATTTCTCCAGCATGGATAGCATATATGACTCAAAGCTATTAAAACTTACGAAGTAATTGGGGCAGATGGAACTCCCATGGATCCGGCATAAGCAACGGATGGTGGGGCCTGGAAAGCCTGTCCTGGTCCTGCTCCGGCCTCGACGTTGCGGAAGTACGCATCCCAAGAAGTGTGCACAGAGGATGGATTTTCGAGCCAAGTCTCGTACATCTGTTCGATGTAAACTGAGGAGGAACCATTCAAGAACGGTTCATGCTTGACGGAAGCAGCGACTGATTGTTTCCGTTGCTAAAAAACTATTTGTTGTTTTTGTTATATTTTTATGACGCATACCTGAACCAATGGAGTTGCTGAGATGGTGTTGTTTCCATATGATGATGCACTTCTAATGCTATTGATGCGACTTGGAGACGCAAGACGACATATCAGACTCGCCCGATGCATGGTGGGCCAAGTTTCCCGGGTTACTGAAAGTGAAATTTGATATAGAAGTTGAAATCAATGATCAACATGTTGAAGTGAATCACGGGACAAAAATGACATCAAGAGAGGACGAAAAAGGAGGCTGTGAGATAAATGAATCTACAGTTTCTTTGGAACAAAAAACCACTAGTCCTAATTTTCTCATATCAATTTTGAATGTAAAATTTGGAAACTTTTTGATGATAATTTAGAAGTGGAGTGACCTCGAAAAGGAGTAAAAGAGCACAAAAAAGAAGCTGACTGTCCGAAAGTGTAATCAATTGAAAACCTGGCATGTGTGTCACGCAACTCTTTTTTGATAATCTAATTTTTATTGGAGATTCTCCAATGGAGAATACAAAGATCGTTTAAAAAATATGTAAAACGTTACTTCCCATATAGTCACTCTGGAACCAGTTTTTGAAATTTGTTTTTGTTTGACTCAATTTTTTTTCGATAGAAAGTTTTGAATCAATTGATGACTAAGAAAAAAAGAACTAAAAACAGGAAGAAGGGCAAGGAGGAGCAAATGAAACCCGATGCAAATTTGGAAGGCACTCTCGTCTTGGTCTAACGAGATGGAGAGATAGAGAAACATAGGAAGACCACCGCCCGTTATCGGTAGAATAATAAACATAGAAGAAAAAATAACTATGTTGTTGAGATGATAACACAGATGCAATTAAATGGAAAATCCGCTTCAGGGTTCGAGGGTTGTCCCTCATCATGCCTTCTGTCTAGTATCTCGGCGTCTCTCAACATTTCACAACATACGGGCGGCTCGCTTTCGAGAGGCGCTCAGGGGGCGCCCGAAGGCAGACCAAAGTGAAAGAGAAAAACCAGAGAATATGACGCATTTCGGAGAAGAAAAAGAAACTAACAGCCTGCCATATGATGAACATAAGCTGCGCAGATAGAGAGAAACTACTTTTCAGACTTGTGAACGTTTTATGAAGCTATTCATGAACAGCCCCATTAGAGATTTCCTCAAATTTTTAGAGACGATCTGAGCGACTTAATTGGAGATTCAATATTTAACGTTTTTATGTTTAGCAGAATCTATTCCGCTAGTTTGGGGAAGTTTATCTCAATTTGAAAAAATGATGTTCGTCAAGTGACAAAACATCTGATTGAACTGGAGGAAGATAATCTCTTGTCGACGGAAGCAGTGTAAAGTGAGACGCCCATGAGCCAAGCTTCGGCAAAACAAGACTGCATGAATGGAGGAAGTAATCGGCTTCGAGTCGAACGAAATCCAACCCAATGAGAATCAGATTGTTTTTATACCGAATATTCATTCAGAAAGTGTTTCTTGACAGAGACGGCAAAGGGGGACATTTTTAAACTTTCAGAACAAGAGAAGACGGTTGGGAGGGGGACGGGAAAGAATAGGAATACGATTAGAACCAACGACAGACAACAAATATATTATAAGAGAGAACAACAATAATTAAAGAGCCTCGATTCTTTGATTCACCTCGTGGACGTTGTTATGCGTCTGCTTCAGGTTTGCAATGAGGACTTTGAGACGTTTCTGGAAATGAAAACATTTAAGAGGAAGCAGGATTTAAAAAATACCTCAAGCAGAACCCATTGGTCCGATCCAAATCTTCGGTGTTGGTACGAGCTGACGATGAGAGTGTTGGCCATTTCATTAATCTTTCCGGATATCGCGTTGACTTGAATTGCGTCGATTACAAACTCTTCGAGGGTTTCGTCTGCATGAATATCCAACTGTTTGGCCAACTCATCCAGCTTGATTTCGTTCTTCTCTTCGGCCAACGACATGAGGGTCAAAAGACGAATTTTCTTGAGGAGAATAACTTCATCGACTTTCAAGTAATCTGTGACGAACTTTGGGTTCTTGGCAACAAACTGCTGATAATCCTTGAGAGTTCCTGAGATGAACAATTCCAAAGCAGTGAACATGAGTGGATCGGATGATTTCAATGCTTTCACAGCACTGAGCCTCTCCAGGTGGTCAAAGGAGAAAGATTTTGGATCGACGACAGCTGTTCTGACGCATTCCATAGCATCGTCGCGAGCTGTTGCGGCATCCTTCTCAGTGTATGTTCCCAACAACGCAGTCATAACCTGAAAACTCTCGAATATGAATAATCTTCATGCCTCCTATAAACTAACCTTGGCAGCTTGATCTGCTCTTTGGTCCACAAGGAGGGCGCGATGAACAGCTCTCAAAATTTCGCGTTGTCCCTCGACTGGAGTTTGCCAAGTGTTGAATCTGTCGTGCAGAGTTTCCAGATTGCATTCTAACTCTCCAATAAGTCTCGCCTCGGCGCACATATCAACAAGAGCCATGAAAATTTTCTCTTGCACAGTGTGGAAGTTCGAGTATCCCTTGTACAAGTTGGAGAGAACACGAACAGCGATTCCAGCATGACTGCCCCATCCAATTCCTTTGTAAAATTTCGGTGACACGTTCTTGATGAATGCATCGACAACCGGCTCGCATTTCTCTCCAGGAACAACAACAATCAACGAGGAAATCGAATTCAGCACCAGGTCTACGTCTTGCGACCACAATGGGAGAACATGGAGGGTCGAACAGATCTCGACCAAATTCTTGGCGGTTTCAGCTGGACCTGCAACAAAAGAGTTTACATTCTGCAAAAAATAAAATGGGTATACCTGTAGGATCCAACTTAACACTCTCGTGCTTGTTCAAGTATTGTCGGAGCTCTTGGAGCTGCTTGATATCATCGATATACGCAAAAACGGGAAGTTCGCGTGTGTCAGCCATCTAAAAGCAACACCAATTACAATTAAAAAGGGGAAACATGCATGAGCAAGAGGGTAATGCACTTCAAACTTCAGCTCAATCACCTTTATTTTGCGCTCTCAACAGTCGCGATTTTCTCAACGTGTCCTTTTCGGATGGCTTCTAACTGTCGTTGACTTCTTCTCAAGTGATGCTCAATGAGCAAAACTTCGCTCGGTTGGAAACGAGTGGCTGCTGCGCGGAACTCTTGCTGAATGTGCGAACGAATACTCGGATCACGACCACGAGAAGCGCGCAGAAAATCACGGTAGGTTGAGAGAACAAGCTTTTGAAGTTTGCTGTGCACTACTCCACCGCTCATACAAAGAAGCTAGAAAGTCAAGGAATTGAGTTGATTATAAAAAAAGAAGATAGAGATATAAAAGCGTCCAGGACGCATAATTCGACACACACATTGGAAAAATTCGAACAATCATTACCTTTATTCAGATAAAGCTAAAACAGAACTAAAACGAACAAACTACCTATTACTTGGATTTGTGGTGGTTCAAATCCAGCGGACTAATTGATAGTCCCGTTTACCCCAACGAATAAGAGTGAGATCTTCAAGTTCTGGCAAAACAGACAATAGGCTATTGATTGATTCCGTCGGGTCAACTTTCTTCGCTCCGTTTACAGAGAACGCTCCATTTTTCATCAATAAATGCCCCTTACCACTTCCAAATCGAGTCAAATCCGCTAGTTTACCCATTGAAATTACCTGAAAGAATAAATGTTTTCACTGATCTAATAGTCAGTTTCGAACCTCTTCTTTTTTTAGATCGACTGTTGTTCGGAACATTTGTAGTACTTCTTCCTTTGACAAACCCGTCAAATCAGCCTTTTTACTTCCAAACATTGCTTTTGTGCACCGTAACGCTGTATCCAACCCTTCTTCTCCATGAACAACTTTGGTGATTTCCATCGCTAACTCCGTCTGGACGATCCACTTCCCTAGGTTTTTCCTGTGCTTCACCAAAGAACTCTCTAGGTCTTCGAAATTCCGTAAACTGAGAAGAAGCAGCAATTCTTCGGCTTTGTCGTCATGCAATTGTGCGAAGAATTGGTATAAATGAAATGGTGATGTTTTCTTGGGATCCAGCCAAAGTGCGCCTCCTCCTTCTGATTTTCCGAGTTTGTTACCGGCTGAATCGGTTAGAATCGGGAAACAAACTCCAGCCGCGAATCCGTTATCAGTTCCTTGAGATTGGTTACATCTCTTCTTGATATAATGTGCTCCAAAGTCAAGATGGCCTAGCTGATCATATCCTCCCAGTTGAAATCGGCAGCCGAATTTTTCAGATAATGTATACCAGTCGTATGCTTGCATAGTTTGATAACTGAACTCGGTATAAGAAAGACCTTTTTCCAAACGATTTTTGATTGTTTTCATCCGAAGCATTTTTCCCAGCTGCATACTTTTACATTCCCGAAAGAAATCTCGCAGCGCGGCCTGGAACAAGAATTCATGGAAACCGGAAACTATTTTTGGAGATCATGATTTTTTTCCGTACAGATTTCACCATGTATAAATTTTTCAGCCTTTCAGAAAACTAATTTCCAGACACCAAAATTATATTATTTCTGTTTCAGTATACGGTATACAGACAGCTAATTCCAAAAATCTACCTTTTCGAGCCAATCATTATTGTTGACTATGATTGGAGGTTCGGTGTCGCTGGAAGCATTGGCAAATATCCTCCGAACCTGTTCGGTCACACTCTGAGCATTCGAAACAATAACATCTGAAGGCAGCAAATCTCTTTCTGAATAAAGTATTTTAAAATCGAGCATTCAAAGAAAAATACAAGTTACCTGATTTTTTGCCGCTGGGGTCTCCAATGCTCGCAGTAAACTCTCCGATGAGAGCGATTGGGCGTAAACCAAACTGTTGAGATCGAATCAAGTTGAGAAGAATTAATAGATTTCCCACATGAAGACTTTCTGCCGTAGGGTCGAATCCAGCATACAAATAAGGTTGAATCTGTCTGTAACAACTTGTGAATTATCACAAATTTCATACAATCCCACTTCAATTCGTAATCAAATTTAGTTAGCAAGTCCGCCGGATACGAATGCTTCAACGGTTTCCTTTTATCCAAATCCTTGATGTAGTCGAGAAACGGGTTCGCCCTGAAAGAAAAAACGATTTTAATATCGTTACCCAGAAGCTTACCGTGGGCTACGTACCGTTTTTATTGCTGCATCGCCCATCCATTTGCTGAGAAACATTATGTGTTGAATAAAATCCACCAAATATGATGGATTAGCACTAAAATATTGCAAAATTTGTCTTTTTAGGCACGTCGCAAATCGAAAAAATGTAAGATGGCTGAGTAAATCATCGACCGCGCCCACGGAGAAAGTTAGGCCATCGGTGCGACAGTTGGCGCGCGCTTTGAATTGCAACTCAATGTTTGTAGGATGTCTTGTAAAACCCTTCCCTTCTTAAAAAATACTTTCTGAAACCGGTTTTTCAGTAAATTAATTCATTAAATTGTTGTGTATTTATAGGGTTCATTATAGCCGAATAATAACAGAGAGTAGAAAGTCGAGGGGACAAAGGCAGACAGAGACGGGATGAAAACGGCCGGAAGGGCTACTAATAGAAAAGTTATGTCATTCAAAAAACATGTAATAAGTTTGTTGTATTTGTTTTTGTCGTATCTTAACCGCCTGTAAACGAGCTGAACTTTGAATTAGAAAAAACGGCGAACTTCGGTTGTACCATCGACGTATACCGTTCAGTTCTCCCAACAGCCTTCGATGTCTCATATTTGTCGATAAGGAAGAAACTCAAGACTATATCCATTTCATCAAGAATACTTTGAATAAGCATGATGAGGGAGACAAAATATTTATTGGATTCAAGGGAAATTGAGTACAAAGAAACAATGAGCACGAAGAGGGTGTAATAAAAACATACCATATGTGTACACTGGGTAACAGACAGCTTTGGATATCAGAATCCAAGCAGAACAATATGATAACCCGGGGGAATAAACAAAGACAGAGAGCACCAAGGCGAGCAGCTGAATTTGAGAGAAGAAGGAAAAAATGCCTACTAAACGGAAAACACCTATAGATTTTTTAAGACTAGGAAACCAGCGAGAGCTACTATTGCTGCTCCAAATGTAATTTTCGAGAGTAAGTTAGAATCACTCAAGTAGAAGACACGGCGAAGATGTGGATACACTGCCATCATCGCAAGCTGTTCGAAGATTGGTGAATTTGACTGGCCGATCTATAACATGGTTTCTCTAGTAACAAAATAGTTTAATTGCTAACTCACGTTGCTGGAAGAGAACTTTATTGGTTTTGGAAGCTCAAACTGCTTGCAGAATTCTTCTGGAGGTATTTCCCACCGTTGATCAACTTCTTCTCTTTCCACCTTCGTAGCAATCATCACACACGGCGTTTTGGTTCTGAATATAATGAAATTCGCGGATTCGGTGACATTTAACTTACCTGTAGAAGTATTTTTGATAGACTGTGGCACAGAAAGCAAAGGAATCGGGATTGGAAACATCGTAAAGGAATGCAACTACATCCGCTGAAGTTTCTCCTGAACCCAAAGCATCCTGAGGGGAAAGAACATCAACCTCACGAAGAAGCAGATATTTGCTCTCTTCTTTCACTTTGACGCGATTGATGACAAATGGCGAATGACGTCTTCCGATTTGAGCAACATCAGACATTCCACGTCCTGCCAACGATTGCATGAAAACTGTTTTTCCTGCATCCTTGGCTCCAACCACCAGGCATTGGAAGACTTTTCTATCTGTACCATGATTTTCCAAATCCTTCTTTCGCTCTCGAGTGACTCGAATCGAATCAAGAGTATTTCCAGCACGACCTATGTCCCGAAATATTAATGACGATGATTATACTTTTATACTAACCTGGACCACTCCGACCGACCGGAAAACCGAGATATGCGAGTTGTTCGAATGTCTGTGTTAAATTTATGAGAGTAGTCATGTTCCAATAAGCCATATATCCATTGTATGTCAGCCATCCTCTCTGGTTCGTCTCGAGAGCCAGAATGTTCTGAATTCCAAATATTTTGAATTTCGATTTTTATCACAAACTTACATCCTTGGTAATAACGGGAGCTGAGCATACTGAGAAGAGATTTTGAAGCTCACTTGGGGATAAGCATCCATCTTTATCTTCATCGTACTTCTCAAAAAGTGCCGACACAAATTGCACACCTTCTGGAGATAACTCTGTGGAGCATCCAACAGGAATAGTGATTCTGGGATAAAGGTATTCTTCTGCCAGCTTCAGGCTAGTCTCGTATCCAAATTTACGCAAAACCGCCCATGTTGTTTCATGCCGTCCTCTTTCAATGAATAAGAGATGGAGATAGAGGAATCCTGCGAGCATTAAAGCATCAGAAGCGACACCATCCGGACATCCATCGGCAACTGCACGCTTGACGTCTTCTAGAGCAGTCGATGTGAGTGGAATACCGAAGCAAAGCTTTTGAAAGTCGTTGAGTTCAGTGTCACTTAGGTAACCATCGTTGTCCCGGTCACAAATCTTGAAAACTCGAATTAGTGCTTTCTTGGCTCGATCTGTCAGTTGCTTTGTGTCGGCATCATAAAGTGGTCTTGTTGGATAGATTACTGCTTTCTGAGCATAATAGAAGATTTCCGAAACATTTTTCATTGTACGAGCAGAACATTCAACGCATGTCTCCACTTCTGTATTCGCCTCCATTATCGGGAGAATCTGCAAACTCGAAACTAGGGATTGACCGGATGGCAGCTTAAAACTCACTTTATCTGTGTTGTTTGCTGTTCCATCTGATTTGTTTCCGACAAGAATAATCGGTGTCTCGTGATACTCTCCAAATGCTTGACGAATTAGTGGAAGCCATCTGAAAACGGATTATGAAACAGTGAATAAACGATAGTGGCCATACTTTTCCTGGATGCGCTCCACAGTGGTATCATCTGTGACGGAATATACAACGCAGATTACATTTGCCTGGCGCATTTCAGATATTAGCCAGTTATCTTCTGAAATTATGGGGATATTTAACCGAATCAATGTCACTCAAACCTTCTTCTTTGATTGATAAATCGACAATACTCGTGGTCACATTTTCGGGGGTAACATCTGCCGGAATCAGTACTCTAAAACCGTTCGTAATTTTTTACTGATTATATATGCCAGAAATACCTGTCTAGACGTCGAGGTACGGCGTCAACCCATTCATCTTCTAAAAGACTCATAACCAATGAAGTTTTTCCGCATCCTTCGTCACCGATGAGAACTATCCGAACATCAGCCAGAGTCTCTCCGTCGCTCATGTTTCCTGGAACAACGTTACGAAATTACAATCTACGGGAGAGATTTCGGTGAATAAAAAGGTGAAAGTTCGGGGGTTAAGAGCTGATTATATTTTATCTGTCAGGCCGTGTCCGTGCTCGGGAAGACAAATAAAAGGAGGCGAAATGGCCGGAAAATCAAATGCATTTTTCGACTGGGGCAAGAGCGCTCCATTGGACTTGCCGCGTTTTTTTCACGGTGAGTTTTTCACTACCTTTGCTTTGGAATTTTTTTTTTTGGAATTTTTCTACTACTTTGGAATTTTTTTTCTCGAATTCTAGTCCGTAACTTTTTTTTCTGTTTCATAAATTCTTAGTAAATTTCATGAAGAATATATAGTAAAAAAATGAATCAGATTTTTTTGTCCGTTGTACTTTAAAACGTCGCAGACTGTTTTCCTTCGGTAGTGAAAAACTCACCGTGTTTTTTTTGGTTTGCAAAATATTTCAATGCAAGTCCAGGGGTCAATGAAAGAAGCATATGGTTTAAATAAATCTACTCGTCCCAAACGTTTGGCCAAACTTCATATAGGATGGAAAACCCATATGGATGAAATAGTCGTAGTTCTATTTTTCTCCATCAGCAGAAATTTATTGTGATTAGTCATTTTCTTCACGATGACATTCGGTTCTCTTGACGAAACCTGTTCGAATTAGCCTTGCTGGTACTAGTAGGGCAATCAGATGACAGCTATTTAAAAAATTAGAAAAGTTGCACGAAACTCTAATAACGGCGAGGATGCAGGTGGTAATTCGATACCAGACGAGAAGACGAAAAAAAGGTGCAAAAGTCAAAAGAAATCTAACAAATCAAGGTTCATTGAAAAACATTCGGTTCAAAAATTGGGAACCTTTAAACAAGAACAGAAACAAATTAACAACAAAAACATGGTTAAGGGCTGCTGAACAATAAAAGGATTATCTTGCTTGGAGCTGAAATTCAACTGCTCTGCTTCACCGCTTTTCTCTGCTCATTTTTCTCGAGTGATTCCTTATCTTTGAGATTTCGCTGCTCCTTTTTGATGGCTAACTCGAAAAGCTCAGATACGAAGACTTCCCTGTAAAAAGAACGTTTTATGACAATATCGATAAAGCACTGAGTCACCTATAAATAGGGAGTAATTTTGGTACTAGTGACAAATGGTCAAATCTGACTCGTAGCATATCCATTGCAATTCCGATATTATCTGTGTCGAGATACTGCGGGAGAACTGGAACTTTTGGATATCTCGCACTGAAATGTGTTAGGATAATGTGCTTCGCATTCATTCGTTTTCCAACATCCACAGCCTGACCCATTGTAGAATGCCGTTTACGCATCGCATCATTCTGAAAACCCATATAATATTAAACATGATATTTTCATATTTACCTCATGCCCATCTTCAAATGTAGACTCGTGAACCAGAATGTCTGCTCCTTGTCCTTCCTCAACTAATAAATCACAAGGTTTGGTATCTCCCGAGAACACAATTCTTTTTCCGGCAACACGCATCACAAATCCATTTGCCATTCTAGTGTGATGTACTTGTACAGCTTTCAACTCGTCAAGATTCCATTTCTTTTTGTCAAAAATGCTCGGCATATCACCCAGAATGTCCCGGCACGGTGGCAAATGCGGGCTCGGAAGTTTTGGCCTTTTTCCGGGTGGACCGTTGGGACTGGAAGGTGGTGTAAGGGGATGTCTAGAAATATCCACAATTTCCAGTAGGCTTTGGATGTTTTCAAAACAGATGGAATATGTTTTGAGGGGTTTCAGCACATTTCTATTGCACACAAGAACAAGAGGTCGGTACGGTATTCCTAGTGATTCAAATGCCTCTTTTCGACGATCCACAATTGTGTAGAGACCATTCATATGGTCCTGATGAGCATGTGTGATTAGAACACAGTGAAGATTCGTGAGCAATTTTTTGCAGCCAACTTCTCCAAAGATTGCTTTCATTTGTCCATATGTTCCTTCTCCAACATCTAGAAGTATCGCACTTTCGTCAGAACCTTCAACCAAATAGCCCGTCACATTTCGATATTTTGATGGAACTGCAGAAGATGTACCGAAGAACGTCAACTTTGGGAATTCGCAGTTGTTTTCAACACTGTCTTCCAATTTTCTATACTCCGCAATCAGCTCTTTTGCTTTAACAGAAATTTCCGGATCAGAAGCTAATAGATTGTTGATAATTGGTTCCTCATTTTGCGAGTTTCCTCTTCTCATCCAATACCTTTGCAATGGAGCAACCCGAATGAATTGGTCCTGCTTTTCCGCAAGTTCACTGTTTTGAGTGATTATGCCATTCCAGTTGATTGGATGAAGCGGTGGGAAAAGAGAAGGAGAAATTGTTCGCAGGAGACGCGTATGCCTGAAAAATTATTAGTTGGCAGTTGAAAAGTTGCAATAGAAATTACTTGTATACACTTTCCACAGCAGGTATCACTGGATTAACTTCATTGATTAGCAAATGAGATGTACCAGCATCGCTCAGTTTTTCCATTAGCTTTTTGTAAGATTCCGTATTAATCACCGACTCACGACTGAGATGAACCATCTGAAAGAAATGATCTTGCAAATATCATAACTCATTCATACTTACGTAGTCCAGCTGTTTCCCTTTATTGAAGAATTGTTGCATAGAAGAAGAATCAAGCAGAGATTGAACATGTTGTTCTGTTGTGCACTCTGCTACCAATAGAAATGGCTTCTCTCCTTCAACTTTGTGGGATGAGAAGACTTGATCCGGTTGAATAGTTCTTCCATCAGGAAGAGTAACAGCTTCTCCTGATTTCAGTTTCCCAATTAATGGTCCTTTCGGCACTTTTAGTTCGAGTAACTTTGTCACATCAATCCTCCGTGCAGCTTCTTTCATCTCAATCAAAAAAGCCACATCCACATTGTTCACTTTATTCTTGTTGCTCGTTCTGCTGGTCATATCTAACGGCGGGCTGAGTGGAATATATGTAACTTTCAAGCCAGCATCCTCGTAATTTCCCATTGTATACGGTCGTTCTTCTACTTGAGATGGGTACTTGCAGCTTCCATAGTCCGAATCTTGAAATGGACGAATACATTCTAGAAAATGCTTGATATTCATGGCTCCATGAAGACGAGTGGGCATGGCATTTGCCTCTTTGGAAAGGAGAATCGAGGAAATTCCAGCGATATTATCCCAACTTGCTGAAGTTAGAAATAAATCGACCACACTTGAACTGCGGACTCGGAGTTGCCATAAGAACCTGCATGCATTTTCTGGACAGTTGAACATATAAGTTTTTAGTGGTGTGCGAAGAATGAAACACGCATGGAGCAATCCTGTTCCATTTCCCAGGACCTCAATTGAAACTTGACTGGGAATATTGACGATTGAATTAGACGGTGGTTCATGAGCAGCTTTTTGTTTCTTTTGTACAGAAGCCATGGATTGACGCAGGTTTGAAATGCTAGCGTTGACTTCTCGAGCCCTAAATTTAACATTATAATAAGAATTCGTTAAAAAAAAGAACAAACTTCAAATGAGAGGAAGAATGCTTCTGAAGGATGCGGCGATTCCTGGCGATTCTTTCTTTTATGCTTTCTAACAAGTCTTCGTTAAATGTTCTGGCGGTTGTGGAGACGGAGTTACGGGGAATTCTGAACAGTAATATTGAGTAAAGTTGCGAAATTACAACTGAAAAAAAACAAACAAGTGGTTAAATATTCAGAAGGATGAGTTACTTTGAAAAGCTTATATTTAGCAAGGTTTATTAAGATTTAGGTCATTCCAGATGTCACAAACCCTTACAGAATCCGATTTGCAAATGATTTTAGTGCAGCCCGTCGCATCCAGCTTTGAAACTTATCGTATCTTACTGGAAATACATATTCCAAAAAAACTATTTTCCTGATATTGAATGCAATAATATATCAGTTAAAGTAGACTTTTCACTTTGAACACTGGTTTTCTCAAAACAAGAAAAAATCAAATTCAAACAAATCTTCATCTGAAGATAAAGACACAGAACATGGAAGAGTTTGGAGATTATTAAAGAAAATGGGGGAAACGATGGAGATGCCTTGCACCCATAGAAGTAAAAACTGGGCTTTAGAAAATGGCCAGTTAAGTGTAGTCGATTAATAGAGAAAGCAATACAAATCAACAGAACAATCAACACTAACACATTCTAACTATTAAGGGGAATTCGAACTCATGAATTCGAAAAAGAATGGGGGAAGTAGATGGGATACAAAAAAAACAGAAAAATGAATATTGTCTATGAAAGATTTGGTAGTCCAGTTGGAATTCCGAACGGTCTGGATTGATCGAGACCGGGCTCTGCTTGGCTTTTTTGTCCCAGACTACGAGGATCGTCGAGAGCTTCCGGCTGAAAATAAAAACAGTTTGCAAGTGAATACTGAAGCGTTATTCTTACAGGTGGCTGTGTTGGGTCCATCATTGCACCCATCCACCGTGTCGTAACCAAACCGACTCCCTCGATCATAGCCAGAATAACTGATCCAAGAATGGCACTTCCTGCCATAACCTGAGAAAAACAATGATTGCGAGTCAGTCAAAATACGAGTCATACCTTTGGTCCTGAACGAATAGCTAGAAGAGCTCCAGTCAGTCCTCCAGAGACGATAGAATTGATTGGATCTTCCTTCTTGCGAATGGCAACAAGACAACAGTCGATGGTACTGAACATTCCTCCCCAAGCAGCGAATTGAACTCCAGTCAATGTGCTTCTCATTCTGATTTCACGCATCATGCCAACCTGAAATGATGGACGTTGCTGGCTGGGAAGAAGGTTAACAATCTCACCATCTTTTTTCCTTTGGCAGCATTTTTGTATCCTCCGAAAGCTTGGAAAATAGATCCTCCAACCAGACCCATTGCAAAAGCTGATCCGATGTCATCTCCGATACGATATGGGCTGAAACCTTTTTTTTTAAGATCAATAAAATCACTAGACATTCAGTTAACTCCATACCATGGCTCTCTGGTGTACTCTTCCATTTCTGTGTATTGGTGTTCCCTGGAAATAGAAAAAATTAGTGAAAATTTTTCTATGACGTCGAACTAGAAAAATTGACTCGACAATGTATTTTTTCAAATTAATAAAACGACTTAAAATTAGAGAGAACCATCAAAAATCCCACAGAAACTCGGAAAGCTCCTGAAAAAAGCACGAGGATTGCGCCATCACGCAATTCTTCACACAAATGCGTCAGCAGTCAGCAAAGCGCAAGTTGAAGTCGGAATAACGGAGCATCGTTTGAAAGAACGGCTTCTCAAATTTCGACGAAAAAATGAAAGAAGTGGAAAATACCTAAAGGAGAAAAACTGTGCGGCAAAACCGTGCCCAGCTTACAATTAGGCTCTCACTTTCCGGAAAAAATTTGTCCTCGGATTTGAGAAGCTTCGACGGAAAGTGTGATATGCTGTAGGCTCTTCTGGAATAACTTTTGGCGATGAATAACAAAACTATCCTGAAAGCCGGAAACATTGAATCAAAAATAATGAAAAACATTCATTCGAGCAGAGAAAATGATTGAAGGAGCTACAAAACCTTTTAATAGGTCAAGATCTCCGAGTTTGATTATATGCGCTGAATAAGTATTCAGTTTCAAGAATATTTATATTTTCCGGACGGTCTTAAATATTCATTAATCAATTATCAATAAAAAAAAATTAAGAGCAGTGTGTACAACAAAATAAGAAAGAAACCATGAAAAGACGATGCTGAAGACGAAGTATTGATAAATGGATAGAAAAAGTCATAAGGAAGACGAATATCAATATAAGGCAGAGCTGCGAAAACATGTCTCGGGGGTGGTGTTACATCCGTGAAAGATATAGAGACCGGCAGTCGTATCAATTGACCAGGAATATAGGGGACATCATCCAAAAGTAATTGTACATTTCCTGCTATTACTACTTCTCGATAATTTTTTGTAGAGCCCTGTTTTGAGTGATAAATTTGAAGAAGTGAGGATACGGGTAAGCGGCATGATGAAGAAGAAGGTGATAACTGTAAGGAAACGTTGAGAGGAATATCTGAGATTGTTATACTAACATCTTCCCAAGTCACATTCACTCTTTCAACGGCTGCTGAATGCTCGTCTTCTGATATCGACGAGACTAGTTCAGAAGGATATACTTGTTCGTAGAATGCTTTTGCTTTTGATCGAGCATCCTCGCAATTTGTTGTTCTGATTGTGCATACAGATATCATTGGTCTGAGGAACAGAACTGGAGATGGTTTCACGGATGAAGAATAACATTCTTCTAAAGTTGGAATAGCAAAAGGAACCGGCGAAGAACCTGCAACGATGATTGAATTTAATTGTTTTGTTGATTTGTACTTACCCTGCATACGGTAAATTTGGTCACCAGCTTTGTAACCTGCTCCAGAACTTGACTTGTTTGTTTCTTTTTCGTCTTCATTTGACTGAATCATCCGAATCCAAAAAATCGAAAAGTCTTGTTGAAACCAGTTAGTGTCTACATTCCCAGGCAAATTTCCATATTCTACTTGGACTACTACGTCGTTGACTTCAGTCTGATTCATACGAAAAACTATATTTGCTGATACTAGAACATCGTTGCATGCTGAGCCATTCCAAACTGGAGCTCTCATTTGTTCAGCTGCAATTCTTGGAATCGCCAAAGTTTTATTCTCTGATTTATCAACGAATTCGCCATTTCCAAACAACGAAAGTGCATTGATGAAACTGTTTTCTGTGCATTGAGATAACATATCATATGTGGAGAGTGGTTTACAGTGGACCGTTAAATTCTTCTCTATCTCTACATTTTGCGTTCCAGTACAGAAATCTGAATCAGATATGGCTGCAGGCAGTTTGAAAAGCCTAATTCCAGACGAATTTCCGAAATATAAAGAATCCCCCTGCAATATTAATTGTTTTTGAACTACCCATTCGAAGATTGATCTCACATTGTCGTCAGAAGAAGTTTCTTCTTCTTCTAACATTCTGGATTTAGAAAACAGACTCCACTGTTCACCATCACTCACTATTTCTACCCCACCGTACTCCAACTCATCTGAATTATTTTATTGATTCTGAATTGTTGCACTGCGCTCACCGTTTAATTTTGTTACACAAAACAACCGTGATGTTGGGAAGACTGAGTCAATCCTGTGACGAACTACTGATGGATAACAAACTTCGGGAATATCAGCAGCATAGCTCAAGGCGAATAAAAATGCATAAACTGTGGTCTTCATGCTCTTTGCGCTTGCAGAGCCGCGCGACGAAAGTGCCCTCCTTGGCAGTCACCATGGAAACCAAATGCAAGAGAAGACAGAGGATGTAGGGAAAAAATTTATTTTCCAAATTGATGTATATTCTTGCTACTAACGATGAGAATTGACAAAATTAGTGCAATAGATAGAAATAAAACAATCGAAAATTGCCTAATTTTTAAGAAAGCGCGTGACTGTCTGACAAACTAGGCGAGAACATTGAAATGAAAATTTAGGCGAGTGGCTTGGAGCATTCCACCTCGATGTACTTGATAAGATCAGCACGTTCATCAGCCTTCTTGAGTCCAGCGAACACCATCTTGGTTCCTGGGATGTACTTCTTTGGGTTGAGAAGGTACTCGAAGAGGGTTTCACGAGTCCAGACGACTCCCTGAAACGTAGATATGTGGCTTTATTCAAATAGAAATTCAATTACCTTGCTCTTGTTAGCAGCAGAATAGTCGAATCCAGCGACTGTTCCAGAGGTACGTCCGATGACTCCGTAAAGGGTTGGTCCGGTCTTTGTGGCGGTGGAATCAACGACGTGGCATTGCAAGCATCTCTGCTTGTACACCTTCTTTCCCTTTTCGTAATCTCCAGCTGGGATATCGGCCATGTTGAACCCTGAATTTGATAAAATGAATAGGAATATATATGAAAAAATCATAGAAGGGGGTAACTGACAACCCTAGAGCCGCCCGTGATGCAATAGCGCAAAAGAAACGGGGAAAACGTTGAGGCGCGGGCGGCGGAAAGACGCAGAGAAATGCCAAGGGCAGAGAACGAGCGGGCGGTCTCTGAAGAGTCTAGTTGAAAAACAGGGAAATAGTTATCATTATATTCGTTTCGAAGTCAGCTTGTGGAATTTCTGAATACACGTTCTCAGCTTCAAGAATTTTCGGTATTTCAAACATAAATATGATTAATTCGCTAGTCTAATCCTTTTGAGATGACATCAGTTTCCAATGTTATTTGATCGTTGATTTTCACAAAAAATATTTACATCATATTGGGAAGAAGAACTAAATACCGTAAACATTCATAGAGTGCCGCCCTAAATTTCAACGTTGATCCATATATCTCCCTGCAAAAGGTATCAAAAATTGGTCAACTAACATAATGTTGATTAGTAGTTTATATCTTTCACAGGGAATTAATTTTCTGGTCCATCTGCCAATTTAGGTGGCACTCTATTTAAGGTTTTACGTCACCAAGTTTGTACACCCCCCTGATTCGAATCTGGTAACGCTTAAGATGCTCAGTGGGATCAGAACGAGGAGTTTCAGCTTACAATTGGGCCTTCAATTCCAAACCGGAAATAATAACTTCTAGAAAAGCAATAACCAAGTTTCAAAACTCGTTTTTCGCCGAAATGTTGTTTCCTGTTCTAAAGTATAGCAAAGAAAAAAACTGAACGGCGCCTCGCTAATGCTAAAACCATGAGCCTATGAAATCCCTAGACTGGAAAAATATTAAAATACAAAAGTGGGTAAATGACCAACATATTTTTACACAAAAACAGCAAAACAATTAGTTTGTAACATTTTATTGTAACAAATAACAAGGTTCCACAACTTAGGCGAAGTGGGTGTTTTGGCGAGCCGTGGTGAAAACGTTGAGGTTCTTTCTCTTGGTGACACGGTGTGGGAGTGGGAAGCGGATCTTGGAGTCGTGGAACATCTTAATCCCAGCGCGCTTGGTGTCCTCAGCCTTGATGGTTTGAACCTTGAGGATGTGGATGCGATCAGCCTGAGCACGATGGCGAGCTCCCATGTCACGGTAGCACTGGGTGACGGCTCCAGCAACGGTGGTGTCGCGGTACTCACGGTACATGTTGTGGTGTCCGGTACGGGAATCGTACTTGAGCCAGACTCCGTAGTTCTTGACGGTTCCTGGGTTCTTCTCGAACACCTGAACAAAAAAATAATAAAACTAAATTTGCATGGTTACTGCAACAAACCTGCTTGATGGAGAGAATCTCTCCGTTAGCCTTCTTCACACGACGAAGCATGGAGACGAAGTACCAGAAACGGGACTTGGCGATGACGTGGTTGGTGGCGAAGATTTGCATCTTCCAGATTGGAGTCACTGGCTCCTTCTCAGTTGGGATTTTGCGTCCAACGACGACATACTCGTTAAGAGTCTCTCCAAGAGCCTTGGTTGGCATGTTTTAACCCTGAAACATGAAAAAATGTAAAAACACTGAAATATAGTCATGACGACCGAGAACGAAGTTTTACAAATGTTGAATGCTTCTGAAAATGCTTCTGAAGGGGTTATTCATGTAGTCAAAGTGTGTATTTGAAATATTACTCGAATACATACTCTCGCTACAATAGTAACACCCTTGAAGAGATTCATTCAGAAGGCAAGAAAAGAAATAGGATACTGAATACGGTGAAAATTAGGATAGGAAAAATTCCAAAAAAATATGAACGCACAGAAGTGTATGCGGCAGTGGTAGTTTTGTTGCGTCTTTTACTACCGTAGTCTGCATACACTCGTCGTCGATTTACGAAACTAGGTCTGTTAGAGCGCAAATGCGCAGAAACGCGCTAATGCGAGACCCCGCAAATTCCGGAGCACGCTCTCCCACAGAACAATTCCGAACTGCAAATTAATTTTTGATCTACAGAAAAAAAGTTTGGCGCGATCACAATTGCAGGTCTAAAACCATAATTTCAGAATTTTTTATCTGATTTTGTGGAGTTCCAAGATGATTCAAATGATTCTTAAAAAATTAATTA